TCCTAAGATAAGGTGAATATACAACTTTCTGTCAAGCATTTCAAGTCCTTTCACAACTTAAGGGGAAAATGGATCCACTCACTACAGTCTGTTGATAAATCTATCTATACCTATGTTTTCATCAGTGGTCATTGCAAACAACCATTGATATCTCACAGAAACATATCATAAGTGAAACATATTCAAGTCTTTAGACAATATAAATAATGCAGTGCTATAAATCCGCCTACTTTTGTTTGATTTGCAAGTTAATTTTGTGATAAGCGGCATAAGAGTGTGATAAGAAACATGGCTTTCAAGCCACATCACTCATACGTCCAGTTGGTCAAGCTGAAGTGTGGCAACACAAAGATTACTGGCATTTGCATTAACCCGAATTAGTTATTACAAAATTATTTAGCTGTGTATTCTTGAAGATGATTACCAACTCGAAATTGCCAAATGACTAAAAGAAAATGAATGGCATCAGGAAAATAACTGGTTGGTAAAACGGATTTTTGTTGCTAACACTTCAGAAATTACTCTTGGCATGTATTGAGTTTTATGCAATTAATTGAAAATGGTTCTTTTTTATTATTTTTAAGTACTTTGAGAAATATCAGTAAAGTAGTTCAAAAGTTGTTTTTCCTATCATTTTCCTTAAAAAATCGTATTTCAACTCTACATGTTTTCCTCTCTCTCCATCTATCACGCAAAATTAATTATCGCCTTGCGTGGAAAATTTCATTAAAAACTGGCACTTCCAGTTGCATTACCACATTGCGATCTTTAAAAACAGTTGGCTGACAAAACTTTTCAAGCTGCTCGCAATGTGGCTATTGCCAAGAACTTTTCCATACCAAAATTCACTGTCAGACGGGCAAACACAGTGGAAAACTATAGTTTCGATATCGAAATAATAAAGTGGAGCAAGGCCGGCGTCTTTTTGAAGCCAGCCAGTTAGAAGTTGTTTGGGCCAAGACAAGAGATTCCGAATGCACGACACTGACAATTGAAATTTGTATTCCGCTGCGAAGCAGCTAAGGCCAAATAGGCTGACCTGGCTCATTGAACTTGGCTCGAGAGTCTAGACGGCTAAAAACCCACAACACCAGTGAGTAAATAAAAGCACACTAAAAGCCAAAATAACAAAATAACAAAATAATACCAAAACAGAGAGCCGGAGAGTCGCGTGCCGCTTTCAATTGATATTCCACTGCCGTTCACGTGAACAAAAACTCGAGCGATTCATGGGGAATTCTTGGCTCAGCAAAAAATATTTTAAAAATATATTTTTAGGCAGCTGCATTAGAATAATGCTAGAAAAACAAACAGAAAGGTGAAAGAGAAAAGAAAAGGCCATTTAAGTCATTTTGCGGCCAAGTCAAAACAAATTGACAAATTGCAAATCGGCACAGTCACAAAATTAATTTATTGGCATGATGCGAACCGATTGGCTATGCCAATCCGGTTAAAACCGCCTGCACTTCATTAGTAAAACAAACTGTAGGGGTTTGTTTTGTTTTAGCATAGTAAAATTATAAATAAATTATGGAAATTATTTCTGCGAACTCTGTTTTGCGTATTGTCTAGACTTTGCCTATTTTTGGTGGTGACACAATGGGCCCAAAAAGCGTAAGCGGGAATTAGACTATTAGAAAGTTATCTGAATAATGGCTTAATTACTAAAGAATTCCCCTACAAAAAATATGAAATATACGCAATTATAGGGTTTTCATAGAATTTCCATTGTTAGTTGTTGTAGAAACTGAGTTTCAAGTTTAAATCAGTCAATAAACATAGCTTTTACTATAAGCACATTGCGCATACGCACAGTTGTGTTCATTGAGGAATACAATTGTTTAAGACTGTCCTGTTATTAGAAATACATTCTAAATAGTCCCACAGCAGCTGAATGAATCTCGGAATTTCCCATTAAATCATTAGCTATGCAGCAACTATTCCACTCATAAATAAATTACTTTGCATAGTTTTCCCATGGAGAGCCATTACTCATGTGTTCCCAAAAGTCAATTTAGTGTAGTCAACGTCAAGAGCTCCCCTTAGATCGTTTAACAACTTCCGCATATCTGAGACTTTGTAAGCGGTACGGAAAAGCCGCCGTACTTGAGACTATGCGGCAAGTCATTCAGGTTATAGACCCGTTCTGGGTGGGTTATAAGGCAGATGGACTGAACCGCGACTTGCATACCATGTTATGTGTCTGATATGTCCGATCTGCAGATATTATCATCAAGGCAATTGCCATTGAGAACCGGAAAAGTTGGCGTAATTTGCCAAAATGTCCATATCTCTCGGGCAGATGAGATTATCTTAACTGGAAGCCGTAAAGTCTCAAATTGTCCGTTGTCACACGAATACATATCTTCCAATTAAGCAAGGGCGGTGGTATGGCGGCATTAAGGGGCGGCGCAAGGGGCGTACCGATTTGAACGGACAACAAAGTCCGATTCTACAGACAAGTGACACTAAAATTGGCCTTTGTTGCTCGCTTCTATTCTATTTTAGCACGTCTCAGAACGCCGCACGATGCCCGTAATGCCAGGTACTCGTAATACCCTAAATTCCGAAAGGGGAATGCGCGGAATAGAGGCAGTCGGACTCGAAAATCGGGGCAATGATTCGCTGGCACTGAACTTGACATTGCCGCAGTCTGCTTTCAATTTAGAAATATGTCAGTGGCGCAAACTATTTTCAGAGCACCGTGTACCGTGCACATCACGCACTTGTTGCGCCACAGATGCACATGCAGATGCAGATGCAGATACAAATGCTGAACGGATACAGATACAGGCGTAGACATGCTATTGCTTCGAGGTGTCACTGAGACTTAAGGGAGAGGGATTTACAGTAATTAGTTGGCTTCATAGCTGAAAATACTTAATTTATTATTAATTATTTATTATATACACCACCTCTAACGCATCTGTATACGCATTTCTATGCTTATTTTGATAAATAGTCATGACTAAGAATGGACACACCAATGCGGCTTACGTCGGCGATCATCCGGACAAACTGGAGCTGGCGGAGAAGGGTCAGAAGAACAAGGCCGTGGTGGCCAAGGATCCCGACTACAATCCGTATCATCATCGCGATGTGGAGCATCCCACCACGTAAGCAAAGGCCTGCGGATAATTCGTGAAAATAAAAAGTCATAAAATGTTATATTTTTAAGGAACTCGGAAACCCTGTTCCATTTGCTAAAGGGTTCGCTGGGCACTGGAATTCTGGCCATGCCAAATGCCTTTCGTAACTCCGGCTACATCACTGGATCCATTGGTACGATTGTCATTGGATTCATTTGCACCTTTTGCATTCACCAGCTGGTCAAAGCTCAGTATGAACTGTGCCGAAGGAAGAAGGTGGGTTACGCACAGATCCTGTAGTTATAAAATCCAGATTAATGGTGCTCCCTCCATGACAGATGCCCAGCATGAATTATCCACTCGTGGCGGAGACGGCAATGGGCGAAGGCCCGAAATGCTTCCGGATTTTCGCTCCATACATTGGCACAGTGGTTAACACTTTCCTGCTAATCTATCAACTGGGCACCTGTTGCGTTTACGTGGTCTTCGTGGCCTCCAACATAAAGGCCATTGTGGATGCAGTGACCGATACGAAAATCGATGTGCGCCTCTGCATGATCATTATTCTGCTGCCACTGATCCTCATCAACTGGGTGCGGAATCTAAAGTATCTGGCACCGTTCTCCACGCTGGCCAACGCCATTACCATGGTATCCTTCGGCATTATCTGCTACTATATCTTCCGGGAGCCAATCACCACAGAGGGCAAGGACGCCTTTGGAAAACCCTCGAATTTCCCGCTCTTCTTCGGCACTGTTTTGTTCGCCCTGGAAGCCATCGGTGTAATCCTGCCCTTGGAGAACGAGATGCAGACACCGCAGAAGTTCGGTGGCAGCTGTGGAGTCCTCAACGTATCCATGGTGCTCATTGTGTTCCTCTACGTGGGCATGGGTCTCTTTGGCTATCTCAACTATGGATCTGCGGTGCTGGGTTCCATTACTCTAAACATGCCGGAGTACGAAGTGTAAGTAAACTTGGCAGCTGTGTCCTAATTATCCTGACTATTAAATGAATCTCCTTGAAGGCTTTCCATGTGCGTCAAGGGCATGCTGGCCTTTGCCATTTACATTACCCATGGATTGGCCTGTTATGTGGCCATTGATATTACTTGGAATGATTATGTGGCCAAGCGCCTGGGCTCCCAACGCAATGCCCTGATTTGGGAATATGCAGTGCGAACTGGCCTCGTTCTGATCACCTGTAAGTTGAAGTTATGGTAGGATCATAACTGATGATCAATTAAATAGTAGTCAGACTAGTGTGATATCAGAATTATATCTCAATTGTATTCAGAAATAATAGTAATATTGATGTCTTTATTATCCGTAGTCCTTCTGGCAGTGGCCATTCCCAACCTGGAGCTGTTCATCTCCCTGTTTGGAGCTCTGTGCCTTTCCGCTTTGGGTCTGGCTTTCCCGGCCCTCATCCAGATCTGCACACATTGGTACAATACTAAGGGCATCGCAAAGGTCTGGCTGGTGTTAAGTGAGTGTGCTTATTGAATACCCACAAAAATCTGTTTACTAACCAGAAATCCTTGCAGGCAACTTTGTGCTGATCATCGTTGGCATCCTGGGCTTGGTAATCGGCACGTATACCTCACTAAAGGAGATCGTACTGACCTTTTCCGAGTAGTTAAGATATTAGTGAACCTAAATCCGCCAGCGTTCATTCCAATTCAAGCGAAAGTATTATGAGCAATCGAAAGATATTGAAATCTGTAAACATTCGCAGGGCAGCACAAATGACAAGATGCAGATGCAGATACAACTAAGGATATAGTTACAGCTGAGCTGAGATCCGCTGTACATGTGTAAAGTTATACTCTGAACTAATTGTTGTGTATTTGTATAGAATTTAACAGATTTGTGATATTTTAAGCGCCATGCCCAAGAATCTGTACAACAAGTGTGTATATCATATATCTCTTTATATAGTAGATAACTTCTTGATAAGTAGTTTAGTGCACAGTCACATCTTTTTAAGTCATATTTAAAGTACGATAGCAGATAACCACAATAATAAAAATATTTTGCCATATTAAGAAACGCCATGGGGTACCTGTTGGTCGACTATGTAATCCTTAAGTGCATTGCAAAGTCTTCTAGTTCCATCCACCAACTTTTCCTTGGGATAGAAGGCGATGGACAGGCGGAAGAACTGTTTGCCACTTTGACCATCCGCAGAGAAGCGTGTTCCCACTATAAAGTATATCTTATGATTCTCCAGGCAGTACTTGAGAAACTCTCGGCTGTCCAATTGATCCGGGATGCGCACCCAAATGAAGTATCCTCCCGTGGGGCTGACCAGCTTGCAGCAGTCTGGCAACCCATCTCGAAGCACCTGCGTGGTGGCCAGCATTCGCTCCTTATAAGCCTCATGGGCTGCAGCTATATGCTTTTGGGCTAGCTTCAGCTCAAAGAGACTGGCCACAATGCCGGATGTGTAGTTGTTAAAACATCCACCGCTAACTGCAAATCCACTACCATCTAAAATGGGCTTCAGACGTGGAGGAACTTCAAGCCAGCCCAAGCGAACTCCAGGACCCAGAATCTTGGAGAAACTGCCATTGGAAATAACATGTCCTGCAAAGTCGGCATCATTTCTATCATCATAAGACAACAGACGACTGTGGGTGGGCTTTTCGCCATAGTTAAGGATATTATAAACATCATCGCAGACGACAAGGAAATCAAACTTCCGAGCAAGTTGCACGATTCCACGACAGACCTCTATAGAAATCATAATTTAAATTATGAGAATAGGGTAAAAGTAAATAATAATGAATAATAATGAATCAACCTACCTGGCGAGAATAGAATCCCCGTGGGATTATGATAGGTTGGTATGGTGTAGTAGATTCCCCAGAACTCCTTATTCTTCGATTGAAAGCGCCGTTTAGAGACCTGCTCTTTAAGATCGTTCAGGTCCACCCCATCATCGTTGAGCCTTACGGGAACTACGGTCAGAGTGCTGAAGTGCTTTATGCTATCCAACGCAATCATATAGGTGTACTCATCCACGAATACGAAACCCTCAAAGTCCAACATTGTGGACAAAAGTAGGTGAAGACCCTGAGTTGCTCCTGTGGTTATTATCAAATCCTCACTGCGAACAGAAACCACCATAATAATAATATATACAGAATAAGATAGCAAAGTCGTATGACTACCAATTTACGGGACTTTGAAACATTTCGCTGAAATAGGTGGATATTTCACGGCGCACCTCGAATGTTCCACTTGTTGGTCCATATTGGAAAATCAGCGATTGGTTTTCACGCTTTTCGCGTTCCTGTAAAGAAAACCCACAATGGTCGTTATAAAGATTGGATTGCGCAAGAGTTCTACCCACCAGACAATGATCTGTGGCCGTCCGGAAGTTATCGCAGTTGGCGGCCAGGAGATCGGTTCCTGGAGCACCCACTCCAAGATTTAGGATATTCGGTTCGTACACATTCCAATCACCGCCGTCGAAAAGGTGCTTTAGTTTCCGATCTTGACTGGATTTCAACATGTTTAACGTTCTGTTCTTGGCATACTAATGCCTTATCTAAGCGATGTGTACTTGCGGTTATTGTGCAAAATGTGAATAGGTCTCATTTTTTAGTGCTCGCCATTGCATACCCATTGGTTTCAGCATATGGGCACACTAGGTTTCCTAGATGGATGAAAAGATCTAGGATCTGGGCACTATCCAAAATTTTAAATTTCTTTACTAACGAGTGTAATGGGTTGAGTCACAACTAATAGAAACATTCGTTTTAAAATAAACGTAGTATAGAAGTAAGCTATAAATATTTTAATATTTAATCTAGTCTTTTCAAAATAGGTTATTAAGAGTTAAATATAGGGTATGTCGCGGCGAGTTTCTTTTTAAATAATTAATTTAAACGCGTTTCTTTGCGAATGTCAAACAATCTCTTTGCAAATTCCATTCCCATTGAAACGCGCGCGTCAGCTGATTGCAAAATTTACTTTGTTTTTGGAAGACTCGAAAAATCGTATCGCAACTTTCTTGGAAAAACAATGGATAAACCCACAACCAGCGCTGCTGCCGCTGCGGCACAAGATTCCAACCTTCTTCTGGACTCCCCACAACACGGACCTACGTTGTCCAGCGCCTCCAGTTTCGAGGCACTGACGCGACACGACCCCAATCTCAGTCGTCTTGCCACGAAAATGTTCAACAAAACGGAGGAGTACATCACCCACGAACTGAACGCTCCACTGGAGGACTACAAGCTGTTGGAGGAGATGAACAAGGCAACGATTGCCAAGTACAAGGACATGCGGCAGATTGCCGAGAATTTAAATACTTCGACCAGTGAATTGAGCCTTAAGTTCCAGCAATTAGCTCCAATGATGCAGCAAATCGATGAGATTTCCGACACCGTAGACAAATTGGAAGCGGCGGCCTATAAACTGGACGCATACAGCATAGCCCTGGAAAATCGCGTCAAGTGCGTGCTGCAAAGGAAATCCGCAGGCGGCCAAGTGGCACAATAAGACTTATCTATCAAAAGGGCTGTATGGTACACATTTATTATATTAGGTTCTATGTCAACCAAGTAATAGTTTAAATATAATCGCAATTACGTTAAGGAATATCAGGGGAACTGAAACAAAGGGATATGGTTAACCATAAGCATCATGTTTATAGGTACTTAGTTATATGGTACTCACTTTTGGCCACTGTGCGTATGGAACGAATGAGATTTAGCACCTGGTCCTTGGCCGTAGGGGCTCCAAAATCCTGCTGGCCCGCCTGACGTCCCCAGCCAACTGAAAAGTGTGCCAGAAATTGAACATCGTGGCATTGGGAGCCAAAAATCTCAGTGAGAACTTACACTTGGCCAGAAAGCGCTCCTCGTGCAGAATGCACACTGCGTTCAGGCACAGCAGTGAGGATTCAATCAGGGTCCACAGAGTAAACATATTTGCGCCAAGTTATTCCTATTTACATAAAAATAAACCAAAATCGCCTATAATTGTTGACGTCAGTGATGCCGACTGCCATTCACTGCAAGTGCAGACACAGCTGATTGGTGGCGCTCGGTGTGAATGGTTAAAGCTGATATGAAAATAAATTGCGCGCCAAATGAAAATTCAAATCTGAATCTAGTACTGTTTTTTATTATTTCCTTTATCTAATATTAAACTGCATATTTATTGAGCCCAAGGCAGCACACCCAATGCACATTTGGACCAATCGTAATCTGAAAATAGCAAAGTACAGTAAAAGCTATAATTAATTCATTTTCACATAATGTTTGTTTAAAGCACATTTAAGCAGTTTAAGATACTTACGCTTTTCTAGTTGCCAAACTCCCAAGTCTGATGTCTGCGCATTGCTTTCAGCTGCTTGTCCTAAAAGTTTTTCCAGATAGTCTAGGTTGTAGCTCTCTTCTGAAGAACTATCTTCGTCCATGGGTTCGTCCGGTTCAAATTCCTGCAACCTAGTATCGCAGAGTTTGGTTAAATCCGCAATTTGCGTCTTGCTGAATGGAGGATCTGCCAGCGGTAGTAATCTAAGGAATAGGCAATCTCATTATTGCAAGAGCCAGGAAAGCCACAACAAATTTATGCTTACCCTTTTAGAATGGGCGCTGAGTATTTACTAAATGGAGCAACGCGTTGCATAATAAATTCGCGCTCAAAAACCAAAGACCTGGACTTTTTGGGATTGTCTCCAAAAATAAGGGTAACCGAGGGATCCACATTTGAGTGCACTAACAGACTGCGCATTGTTTTTGAAAGCTTATCTGTGTTAAGGGTGGCAAAATCCGCTGGTTTCAGTTTATCGTTCTGAAAAATAAAGAATATTTAGTATTCATCTTTAGGGAACACCATATTAATACTGACCAAATCCAGTTCCGCTTTGTACATGCGTTTCATACGGAACAGCATTCCAAAGGTTTCCACCATTTTCGTTGCCCAGTAACTGGCTCCCAATCGCCTTTGCTCCGACTCGTTTTCGTTTTCAGTCAGTTGAACTAGGGCCACAAACACTTTTTCGATATATCCCTGCACGGCCAACAACCGGAAGAGTCCCTGTGTGGCTGCAATGAGGGCATCCTCGTTGTCATCGATTTGCAGGCCAACGCCAAGAAAGTATTCCATTTTAAGCAGGCAGTTCGTATATATATCCAGCAAATCCTTCATTGATGATGATTCCTTTTTGACCAGCGCACTTAGATCACTTAACACCGCACTGAGTATTTCTTTTGATGTCTTCGCCTTCTTGCTGGAGGAGTAGACACGAATCTTATTGAATTCGACACTAGATTTTAGCTTGCTGATGGCCTTCAATTTCTCGGCTCCCTTGAAATGGCATTCCAGGGTCAAATCGTAGATCTCTAGAAGATGTGTCACTGCCTTTTCGAACTTAAGCTTGTCCTTGCGTTGCAGTTTCCCGGCATCCAAATTGGACATGGTTTCCTTGTGTGGCAGCCAGTAGTAGGTGCGCAGCCACTCCAGACAATGATCCGAGGTGTTTCGCAGTACCTCCACGGGCGGCAGCTCTTGTCCGTGGGCGCACAAGTGACGCAGATCAACGATGAACGACTGGAGGCCTAGTTCCTTGGCCGTTTCGTACATGCTGGTCATGTTGTGCCCCTGTATTATGGAGGACATAAAGTTGTAGAATCGTGTAAAGGCACTGGCATAGGTTTCCTGTATTTTGGAGCTGCCCTCCCGGTCCTCCAATTGCGCCTGGATCAGCACTGATGTGGCCAATACCGCTGCCGGGCAGAGATTTCCTCTTCGCAGGCCCCATATGCGGATTTTACTGAGTGCTTGACGCCGTGTGTCTGGTGTGTTGGATTTTCCAAACAACCAGTTGTACGTTGTATTGAATTCCAGCCTGAAAACGTAATGTTTGTATCATCGGAGTGGGTTTGTTGTTACATTTGGACTACGCACGTGTCTCGCCAAGGGGTGACCACAGTTCTTTGTTTTACATTTGCTGGCGGTGTGACGGGAGTAACTTTGGCTTTCTGCTGCTTTCCCTTTTCGGGACTTTTCTTTTTTGCCTCAGACTTTTCCTTCTTTGCAACTGCCATGGCAGCCAAGTCCGAATTAATTTAAACAAATTCCGAGCGAAGCAAACCCCGCAAAAAATCACAACAGTTTAAGCAGTGATGAGCTAAATCTAGCTATTAACATGAAGCCCTTGAACAAATTTGTTTGCAGCAAAAATAATTTGAATGCAAAACATCTTACTTGTTAGAGGTTTTCAACCTTGTGTATTTTACTAAATGCGTACGAATCCAGTTATTTTTTTTGTATTTTGCTTTATATCCCCACAAGAATTTTGTTTCGAATCTTTCTAGCCATTGCTACGTTTGCCAACACTACCGGGCTGCGACAGCTGATCGCGCCAACTGGACGCAGCCGGCTCCGCGTGAATGGTGAAATAAAATTGGAGCCAAAAATAATATTTTCTTCTTGATTGTTAAGCCCCCGCCATGACCAACAGCGGCTAATCCGATTTCCCGAAAAGGACGACACTTGTCCTCCGAATACGTAGAAGCTTTAACCGTTTCAACACATGTACGAGATTCAACATCCTGTCATCATCAACAACAACTACAACGTGGTGGACATACTGCATCCGGAGAATAACGAATTTGATGGGCCGTCTGCGGCGCGAAAAATGATTAATGGTTCATTCTCGATGTTCGTGATCTTCTCGTATCTGCAGCTGTTCTACATCCTGGTGGCCGTCTATCTGGCCCTGCATCACGCACACCATCGAAATCTCTGAAGGATCATGTATCACTTCGTATCCGAACAAACGCCGGAGTTGCGGCTCTCAGCGGAGACACTGGTCACGAGCCACGTGACGCAGTACCTCAAGAGCTTCCAGCTGGATGCAGTGCGCTTCGTCTACGATCGGCTGGCAAAGCGCGAGTTCTGCATCTTAAATGATGAGAGTGGTCTTGGAAAAGTCGCCACGGTGGCGGCACTACTAAGTGCGCTTCCACCCGCCAAGAAAACACTTGTGGTTCTCCAGAACGATGAGCAACTGCTCACCGGTTGGCGATTCCATTTGGACACTCTCACTGACCTCCAAGTGTACATCATTCAAGGGGTGCACGGTAATGCCTGATACTTAAATAGATTCGTTGATAAATTGCTACGAGTGTTACTTAAACAAATTGTAAATGATTCACATTTATGATTAATTCCTAATCGTAATTTCACAGCATTTTGAAATAAGGCGATTCCATTTAAATACTATTACTTGACTAATGTGCCATATATGTATTTATTTAATTGCTAAAAATATCTTAGGTTTAGTTGAAGTTTAATTCAACCATCCGTTGTATTTCCCTATTTTATCAAACAACTCTCTGAAAATGTATCTTATAGTTATGATTACTTCACTAACACGTACTTTCCGTCTTTACAGACACCACAGACTCGCCGCACAGCGTTTACCTGGCGAAATGGAGCCAACTACGGAGCATTGGAGATCTCAGTCGCCTCAAGTTCGACTACATTATGGTGGATAATCGGGGGCACTCGCTGAACAACAGCTTTTGTACTTCCATGCTGCTGAAGCAATTCGAGGGACGGGTAAACGTTCTTATCTCTAGTGTTGACATTACGGTGAGGCAATGCATTCATAATTTGGTTTATATCATTTTAGTTTATATGGTTTCTCCCTTTGCAGTCCGACGTGAAGTTGCTCTACAATGTTTTACGACTGGGCGACCGACTAGAGCATCAGTACAAAAGCTTTTCAAGGTTCGATCGCAAATTCCACCTGCCAGATCCAAAGGAGGTATTCAGCAAGCGCATAGATCTCGAGGAATACTACAAGCAGCGCGGATTCCTCAGCGAGTATATCAAGTAGGTGACCCAGTAACCAGATGGATCTATCTTATCTATGCGCAACTCCGATTAGTTTCATTGTTGCACTTGACTGGAATAGTCATGTATTAAAATAACTTGTATAATTTTTAGGGACTTTCGTCTGCGTCGTTTCCGTCATCAATTCGACAAGACCCTGCCACTTGTCGCACCGGAGCAATACAAGCACAATCTGAATCTCTGGTTGGCCTCTAAAAACAGCCAGAGCACATTAAGTGGCTCAGAGGTGTGCTCTACAGTCGCTTCCATAGAAAACAATCCGCCTCAGCAAAATGAAACTGTGCTCGTTGAAGAATCGGATAGGATATCCGAGCATAGCGTAGATGATGTTGTGGCAATGTCACCCCTGATATTTGAGTCCTCCGAATCTGACGATGAACCCATAACCGTAGATCCCGTAGCAAATGAAAACCCGGTATTAGTTGTATCCAGCGATGATTGTGAGATTGTGACTCCTCCAAATACACCGCCGAATCGAACGCCCTTAGTAAATAAATCGCCAAGGACGAAATCAAAGAAGAAATGTAGCAAGAAACCGTCACCGTGCAAAGAAGCAGATCTCACCGATTCCGAAAAGGATGATGAAGGGTTGACAATGCCGCCAAGAAAGAGTACTCGTGCGGCTACCGTTCATTTTACACCCAAGACAAGAAGACTTAATGTGCGACTTTTAAGGGTTTCCCTAGATGCTCTAAGCACACCAGCCCCGTCTGGAGCCACTACTGCGATCATAACGCCCAAAACAGAGCCCTCAGCTAGAAGAAAAAATCGGACAAAACAGCCAATGGATGTGGGTCGCCCAGCTACAAGAGGAATGCAGCGCCTAACACGATCCGCTGAATCAAAAATAAACAGCAAGTACTTGAAGCACCACGTACTTGATGATGCCAAGCGTAACTTTCCAAGAAGAATCAAGGCTGAGGGGAACCAAACACCCAAAACTAGCAAACGAATAGTGAAGCAGGAGTCCAAGGCAAAGGCTAAACCCGAGCAGAAAAAGAAAATAAAGACCGTGGACAAGCCTGCTCAAGAAACTCCGAAACGAAAACCTGGACGTCCGAGAAAGTGCAAAACGCTGACGGAAACTTTAGGGAAGTCAAAGACTAAGCCGAATTCAAAGCCCTTGCCACCTACTCCTCAAGTTCTCAGTGGTAGCTCTTTGTCCTCGGAGTACATGCAATGTGCTCAGCGTATCCCAGACGATTTGGATGCCATTGAGTCACCAGCTTTCCGGGTGCCTTTCACGCCCCAACAAACTCCTATGCTTCTAACCTTGCCGTCTACTCACAATTTGCTTAACGACTCTGAAGTGGTGGCTATTCCGCTTTTCAAAGATCAAGTTGAAACAGTGGTGATCAACAGCTCCCACGATGAGAGTTCCCCGCAGGATCCATCGCAGAGTCGTCGCACCAAGGCGTTAAAAAGAAAACGCAAACCCGACGCGCCTGTCAATTCAAGCTTTGGCGGGGGATTGGGTCTACCACAGGCTAAGAGGAGTGCCACCAACAAATCTCCAGATCTGTTTAGCATATCCTCTGATCTCTCACAGATTCCTCTGGCGCAGCCACGACCCTCATCGCCCTTCGAAGGCTTCAAGATCTTTGGCTCTGAGGTGAAGCAGTTTCAGCAGCAGCATGCGAAAGTAACTATACCAGCGCCAAAAAAGAAGCGAGATCGCTCGTGTTTGGATATCCTAGAGCAAATGTTCGAGCCACGACAACAGCAGTCGTCTAAAACTAGTCCCAAAGTCTTGCCTACCTTGCCACTGATCCAGAAAGATGATGCAACAACTACCTTTACGCAGAGAAGAGTAACTCTCCTGGAAGATGACTTCTTTGAGATAACGAACAATGGGCAGTTTGGCAGTCGCATGAGGTTGAACGCTTCTGGAGAGGTCTCGCCCGTGCAACAGGATCAACAGTCCGTCAGGCCGACGCAGGCCAATAAAATCACAAATTACTTGATTGGTTCTGGAATTACCCAGGAGCGAACGCAGCCTTCTAATGGTAATCGCAACTCCATCGTCGCATCGCTTCGCAAGTCCCCCAAATCCCCGAAACATGGTGCAAGAACCACTCAAGCCACGAAGTTAACGCGCTGGTTTGGCTCGGTCTTCGGAGGAGGAGCCTCACAGACCAGCTCCGTGGAATCGGTTAGCGCACCGAGTACCCCGGTAAATCCTTCCACAAGTGCAGCAGCATGTCAAACGCGAACGGCGAGAAGTGGTGGAGCCACAGGACCCACCAAAAGGAAGCGATTGGAACTGTTCAAGTAATGATCCGGATCAGAACAGCAATCGATTGTGGAGACAAAATCCAATTCGGCAAGGTATCGTCCTGCTTTGTGGATATCAGTAATATTTCCGTGAACGGATTTCTGAGCTATATATTGAAAATGAAACAAAAAACCAAATATTGGGTCGTGAAAATATAACGTATAGTATGGAATCAAAAGCCAAGCAACAGTTAACAGCATCCAAACATGGACGAATGACTATTTAGTAAGTTGTAAATCAAGTAGCGTAGTCCGTCTGAGCCATTAACTAGCCAATTTAGTTAAATTTCTATCTTTTGTGCACATTTTGAAGACTATTTCACGATAAACTTGTAAAGACACTGTATACTATCGGTTATACATTATTGAATAAAGTATCTTGTAAGTAGATATCATTGATAAATTTTTAGTAGACGCGTGCAAGTTCTTCAGTTACTAAAGTTCAGAAGTTTTTATAGTTTCTCATTTCATTTTCCAACATGTGCCCCTGATAAATGCCAGTAGTTAGGCGTGTGCTTAGTTAAATTATTTCAATACGCATTACAAAGTGTATTAAACAATTTTTAAGTAACGAAGAATATCGTTTTTAGGTACAAGTACAATGTAATTTTTTATTTTCATGAAATAAACAAAGCGTTTACATACGAAAACAAAGTATTGCGTGTAAAGTACAGATTTTTGGTAGGTTAGTCAATTACCTATTTATATATATAGCTGCGTCTTGGGATGCTATCCTCTCTGTTTTCCGAATATTATTGTTAGGTTGTGCATCACCGCCTGGCGCTGGAACTCCAGCTCCCGCCTGCACATACCGCCCAAAAATGGCGGACACTGATACTGTATATTCTCCTGGGCAAAGGTATCACCATTGGCGCTCCTGAATGTGAATTCACTTAGTGATTGCACTGCAAAAGAGAATCATTTATGATTACCGAGTGCTTCCAAATCACTTTCTAGCCATCTTACGGCAGTAGAATCCGGCAAAGAAGCAGGTCTCATGCGTGGACTTGATAACATAGGCCACGGGCGATACTCCGGGCATTGACTTGGTGACCACGTATTTGGCCGTGGCCGTATTCAGCCAGTATGGCCAATGAGATAGTCTCTCTGTATACTGCACCGTGTAGCGCCAGTCGTGGGCGTGGCCATGATCAGCGAGGATCTTGAAGTTCAAGCTGTGTGGGATGGGAAATTGTATGGTATCAATTTATTAAAGTAGTGTAAACTGGAGAACGCAGAACGTGCAGAACTAAATTGATCGGAAGTTCGGATAAGGAGTCTCCCTTACATGGTGGGGTTCAGCAGCCGCATCTTGTTAAAATCCGCCACATACTCCCAGACCTTTTCCGGTTGGCTCCGCTTGATAATGCCCTCGATCTGGTACTTCTGATAGCCACTGGAGAACACGAACACATAGAGCAGCAGGGCGACGCTAAAGAGGATCGATGCCCGCTTAATATTCCACAGACGAGGACGGTGCATCATTGGTTGGTTCTGTGCTGGATGGATTTCCGACGACGACTGGCGATTATTGTGTGTACATGTCGGCCTATTCGAATTTCAAATGAACATGTGCTAGAGAATTCACCACAAATATTCTGGATATCAGCCGCAAAGGGGTAAAGAGCGCCAGTTCCGCAGCGCGAAGAGAAAGATAAACAAAAAGGGATCTTAAGTACAGCGGCGGCTGTTTCATTCTTCTTTCGAGGAGAGTTTGGTTGGTATGCAGGGTATACACTTTTGTTGGAGAAATACTTTAGAATGATTACCGAACTGGATCTACACCATAAAGCCATACACCATAACCTCCTTAAGTAAAAAAATGTTAGCCTTTGAATATTTTGTATGGTTTGGGTTGGGTAAATACAAATTAAAAGGCCAGCTAAAATTAGAAAATCTCTTAGAACAGAAACTATTTGAATTTAAAATTTAGATGCTACGATATTTGAATATTTATAGGAGCAACAAATTCGCTTTTCATTGATTTATATCATTATTTTAACTACATGCTAGGCATTACTTCTGTATTTCAAAGTAGCAAGTAGAAAGTAATTAAATGAAATGAAATGGGTCTTAAGCATGGTAAACATTTCATTAATTTGCTGTGCAAGCACTTCCACTTGTTGCCATTCCAAGCAGTCTGATGGGTTTTCGCAGGTCAAAGCTCTGGAGCATCAGCCCCCTGGAGCCCCAACATCTCCCCAATCAACCCCCCAAACGATTTCAAATGCTGCCTAACACTGGCACCAGAAAGCTTTGGCGAATGGCGAAAGCTGCGTCCATATGATCGCCACTCTCCATTTAGTTTATAAACAACGCTCGCCGGGTGCAGTTGAATTCGGAGCGGAGCCCTGGGAATCGGCGGTGTTCATACAGATATAACATAGCCATAGGACTCCCGTGAGCATATGTAATTGCTTATCACAGTCCGGCTGTCCGAAATCGGTAGGTCTCATCGCTCCAACAACAAACGATTCCTCAACAGCTCGTGCCCCCCCGCAAATTGCCGGCTTACGTAAGCCAATTGTAGCCGTTTTGGATTCGTTTTAGCTCAGAGAACATTAATCAATTTAAGAAAACATGCGGCTACTGGCCAGACACGCGATTCGATTGTTGGGTCAGGAGAATCGCGCGGGCGAGGTGGCTTCAATTGCGAGAGGAGGTATCCGGCTGAAGGCCACAACCGGTTACCTGAAGCTGGCCACGGCAAGTGTTCAGCCAGTGGAGCCGGAGAAACAGGTGCAGAGAAAGGTGAGTACTCCGCATTGGTAGATCCAAAGATTCGATTTTGGTTTTGATTTCGCTGATCGGAATTTCCCCAGAACTCGCCACTGACGGATTCCTTTGGCCGACATCATACCTACTTGAGAATTTCCCTAACCGAACGCTGCAACCTGCGATGTAAGTACACGTAGTATCTACATATGCTTTCGACCCTTATCAGTTTTGGCCTGTTATTGTTTTACCTATTTGATAATGCTCGCTATGAAGTGGATCCCAGCCTTGATTGAATAATGTGGCGAAGTTCGAGTCTTAGACACGCACAACTGCGGACATTATAGATATGGAGCACCCATATTGACCCATTTGTTGCCAACTTAGAGCAGATGTTCTAATTTCAGTTTGGGAATTCTATTGTAATCAATTCATTTTGGCGACTCAAACAAGGTTTCTGATTTCAATTGCTGATAGCAAACAATATCCAATTGAAATTGGATAACTTAATGTTGAATTCGAGAAACTTCTATGCTTACAAACATATCATAGTTATGTATTCTTTTAAATAAAATTTGAAATCATGTGTTAACATAAAATACCAATTCCAAAATGGTATTGTGACTATAATGTTTTTATATTTTTAGGCGACTACTGCATGCCCGCTGAAGGCGTTCAGCTGCAGCCCAAAAACAATCTCCTGACCACCGGGGAAATCCTTCGTCTAGCTCGGATTTTCGTGGAGCAGGGAGTGCGAAAAATCCGCCTAACCGGCGGAGAGCCCACGGTGCGGAGGGATATAGTGGAGATCGTGGCCCAAATGAAAGCGCTACCCCAACTGGAGCAAGTGGGAATTACCACCAATGGCCTGGTGCTGACCCGCCTGCTTCTGCCGCTCCAGAGAGCTGGACTAGATAACCTTAACATCAGTTTGGACACGCTGAAAAGGGATCGGTTTGAGAAGATCACCAGGAGAAAAGGATGGGAGCGGGTGATAGCTGGCATTGATCTAGCTGTCCAATTGGGCTATAGACCCAAGGTGAACTGCGTCCTTATGCGCGATTTCAACGAGGATGAAATCTGTGATTTCGTCGAGTTCACCAGGGATCGTCCCGTAGATGTGCGATTCATAGAGTACATGCCTTTCTCTGGAAATAAGTGGCATACAGAAAGGCTTATTTCATACAAAGATACCCTGCAAACCATCCAACAAAGCTGGCCAGACTTCAAGGCCCTTCCCAATGGACCCAATGACACTTCCAAGGCTTATGCAGTTCCGGGATTCAAGGGTCAGGTTGGTTTCATCACCTCCATGACGGAACACTTTTGTGGCACCTGCAATAGATTGCGACTTACTGCGGATGGGAACATAAAGGTGTGCTTGTTTGGCAACAAAGAATTCTCGTTGAGAGATGCCATGCGAAATGAAAATGTTAGCGAGGAACAGTTGGTGGATCTCATTGGGGCAGCTGTCCAGCGCAAGAAGAAACAGCATGCAGGTGAGTTGCGATCCCGAATCAAAAGTAGAAAGTCCTCAGACCTTGGTACTCCTTCGCAGGCATGCTCAATCTGTCGCAGATGGAGAACCGGCCCATGATACTCATTGGCGGCTAGTAGACATACCACACTCTCTTCCCTCTCCCGTTGCAGATGCTGCGCCAAGACTCCATCATCATCTTCATCCTTATTTGTATCACCACGCATATCATACTTCAAGGCTGCAGCTCCAGGCCCGAAATTACAGCCGACTAACCCATGTCGATGGCCAGGGCAAGGCCCAAATGGTGGATGTGGGCGCAAATCCTTCAACCACAAGATTAGCTCGTGCAGAGGCCACTGTCCAGGTCGGTGAGAAACTCACCCAGCTTATAGCCGACAATCAAGTGGCCAAGGGAGATGTTCTGACCGTAGCCCAAATTGCTGGCATAATGGGCGCTAAGCGAACAGCCGAACTGATACCGCTGTGTCACAACATCATCTTGTCCTCCGTTAGAGTGCAGGCCACTCTTCTCCAAACCGAAAAATCAGTGCGGCTGGAGGCATCCGTTCGCTGTTCCGGCCAAACTGGAGTCGAGATGGAGGCACTAACCGCAGTTTCAGTGGCTGCGTTAACTGTGTACGACATGTGCAAGGCTGTTTCCCACGATATCTGCATCACCAATGTCCGCCTGCTAAGCAAATCCGGCGGAAAAAAGGACTTCCGGAGGGATTAGTCGGAAAATGGAATTGTTCCAGAGGTAGAATGAGGTAATCCCTGACTGACCGGATTCCTTTAAATAATTAAGTAGCTAAACCGCGTTACGGGGAATGGAAAATAAACTACTGCTTACTAGATTTACCCACAAATATTAAATTGAAAGACTTTCTAAGAAGCAAGGATACATAAATGTAAACATGTAGAAAAAACACTTCCTAATAGGAAACTAATTTGACTAACGTACCAATACAAATATTTCTGAACAGATGTTTTAAATGGATAATTAGTTGCGTAATTCGAACTTCATTTATGTAGTATTTGTTTCCAGTCAGTGGGGTGGAAATCCAATTGCAGATTTTAAATGAATCACACGACACATGACTAATTTCAATCTGAAGTTTAAGGTCTCTTTAATTCGTGGCCAGAGTGGGTTAAGTTTAAATGGGGGAATTGATGGATAGTGTTGGTGTGAAGGTGCGATTGGAGGCGTGTCGCGAACTGCGCCTTACAGCTAGAAGTACATACAACATTAGAAGTGTTCAATAAACGCGGATTATCGCTCGCAAATCCTGGCAGAGTTCCCTCTCAACATAGACACAATAAATACGGTGTGGTGAGGTAATCAATCGCTCCTAGTTGGACACCAGGACATTACGGTTCTCCGCCTTGCCCTCCGCATCCGCGCCCTTGGCCCCCTCGCCGCCCAGGTGCTCTCCGCGAATCTTGATGTTGTGCTCCTCCTTGAATTTGTTCAGCTCGCTGCCCTTTTTGCTTAGGTCATTAGTGACCATCACGATGGTCTTGGCGATGAAGTCCTTGTTCTCCACCAGCTGCGGCAGTACCTCCTTTACGGTTCTTTCGCACAGCACACCGCCAATTTGACGAAAGCATTTCCGTTCGGGATCTGCCGCCTCCAGAGTTTCTATCACAGTTCTGGGGAGTATTATGGGTTATAACTGGGTGTCAGCAGGGATTCTCCCACTTGCCCAAGGTCCTATCAGACGGTCAACCATCTTTGAGACCCTGGTGACTCACTTGTGTTCCCTCAAATCCATTTCGAGCGTATTTAAACTGTTGGCCAAATTGCGCTGATCATTGCGCAGCTGTTGGAACTGCGCCACAATGGCCTCCTGGCTGAGTGCCGGCTTTGCCGATTCGGTGCTCATCACAATGCTCGCTCTCCAAAAGGACCCCTTCGAAATCTAGGCCTGGATAATCGCTTCAAATACGCGATAATTTGCGATTTTCTTTCAAAATACGACGGCGAACACGAGGACTATGCGAAAAACGTCCTAATAAATCCCAATCGCGTAATGGCAGTGAGACCTTGTATGTAATGTGGCAAAATGGTGTAACTGTAAATGTAAATATAGCACATCTTTCGTTACCTTTATATAAAATAATTATAAATAGTTATTATACAATTATATTATAAATATTTATAAAATAATTATAAATAGATTATACTTGTATATTAATCCTATTTTGGTATTTTAAAATTTTGTTTTTAACTAGTGAACCAGATAATAAAAACTTAATACCATACAAAACTCTAAACCCATTTATAATCAAAGCCAAAGTCGAATATAAAAGTAATTATGGATTAAATTATTAATTTTTGAAATAGGTTTAGGTTTTTAGATTTTAATACAATATATAATGGAATAAAGACAATGAAATTCGTCACTACGTAGGCGACTTTTCCCGGTGAATGCAATCGATAGGCGGGAAACCATATGTTGCCTACGTTTCGCGGTGAATGCCAAATTTGAATACACGTGCGAGTTGTTTCTAACGAAGTTTATTTTATTTAATGATTGTTTCTGATATATAACCATATAAAATCATGCCGGCAGCAGTGGCCACAGGTGTGCAGTTTGGTGGACCGTCCAAAAATAAAAAAGTCGTGTTTAATGAGTCCGACGACGCGGTAGTTAATCAAAACAAAAAAGACTACCCACATAGGCCAAAATTTCAAGGCAAGGAACAGGTGAAAAAGCCGCAGAAAATTAAGTTTGGAGAGGATGGAAAATCGGCGAGTGGTAAATCCTTTAATAAGAACCACCAAAAGCCCGATTTTTCAAAAAGGCCACAGAAAATAAAGTTCGGTGATGATGGAGAACAAGTAACTTCCAAATCGTTCAACCAAAATCATAAAAATGGTCCAAAACCACAGAAAATCCAATTTGGAGAGGATGGAGAAGCTGTACCTCAAAAACCTTTTAACAAAAAGAACTTGAAACATAATGGTCAAAAGTCGGACTTCGTCAATAAAATAAAGTTAACTGATGATAGAGAAGATGAAGTAACTCCAAATTCTTTCAACAAAAAGATGGGACCAGCCAAGAAGTCCCAAAAAATCAAGTTTGGAGACGACGGAGAGTCCACGGAGAACTTCAAAAAGCCTCAACGAATCAAGTTTGATGAAGATGGAGCTGGGAAAAATGTATCCGATAGCGATGGAGACAGTGATGAGGAACTCGGGGACTCCATATCCAAAAAGCACAACAAATATCAGTCAAAAATAGATGAAGACGAGGAGTCCCAAAAGAAGTGGTATCATGTGGTATGTTGAAACTAAACAAAATTCTGTAAAATAAGTCATTTATAGTTAACACTTATGTATCTTAGCATCCCGACTATCCATCTACTGATGAGGTACTGGACATGAAGGAGAACGATCAGCTAGAGCTCTACAATCTCTGCAAGAATTCCTTTGAGGCGGAGAAGATAACTTTTAATAAACGTAAGACCTGCTATTTTCTTAAGTATTAAGAAAAGAATGCTATTATCTTATCTTTAGGCAATCCCTCGGATGCTCGCTGGTTGCAAACCGCTCTGCACAAGGGTACTGCAAAGGATCGGGCCAATGCTGGAGCCCTACTGGTTACGAGCAATCCACTAGGCAATTTGGAAGCATTGACCACTTTAATTGGCTTCTGCAAGATCTCCAACAAGGCCAGCAATGATGTGATTGCAGTGCTTACGGATTTGTGGCAGGAGGTGCTCCTCCCACCAAACAGAAAACTCCTGGCGGTGCACACACGTGGAGCTGATTGGAAAAAGCTGAAAAAGGATGAGAATTTACGCAACGAACAGAAGCGGCGTATTTATGCGTACTGGCATTTCGAAAGCGAATTAAAGGACCAGTACCACGAGTTCTTGAAAAACGTGATGCAGGGCTTGCAGACTGGACAGGAACACAATAAGAACTCCTCCATTGTGGCAGCCGCCAGGCTGCTGGCCTATGCTCCCGAAAAGGAGCAACTGCTGCTAACCATGCTGGTGAACAAACTGGGCGATCCCATCGCCAAGATCGCATCCAAGGCATTGCATCACCTCAGCGAGGTGGCCCAGAAACATCCCAACATGTGCGGCGTCATTGTGGCGGAAGCGGAGAAACTACTTTTCCGCAACAACATTTCCGAGCGAGCACAGCACTTTGCTCTGTGCTTCCTCTCCAGCATCGCACCCTCTGGCCGGCCCGAAGTCTGCACCAAGTTGGTCAATATATGCTTTGCCCTCTTCAAGGTTCTTGTTCAGAAGGGAGCCGTAAATAATAGGACCATGCAGGCCATTCTGCGGTGCTTGCAAAAGGCTATCGTAGAGGCTAAACCGGCAAAGGATAGCAACGGTGAATTACTCACCAAGGAAATGCAGGACACCATCTACCGGTTGGTCCATTTGGCGGACATCAGGGTCGCTGTACAGACTCTCGGTCTGCTGCTGCAACTGGTTGCAGTTAAAACTGAGAAATCGGATCGGTTTTATAATGCTTTGTACGTAAAGCTGTTGGATTTGAACCTCATTAATGTGGGTAGTAAAACGGCGGCTCATCTACTGCATATTGTACATCGTGCCATCCACATCGACAATCATGTGGCCAGGGCCCAGGCATTCGTGAAGCGCCTGCTGCAGTTGACTCTATACACTCCTCCCCACATTGCAGCAGGTTGCTTAATCGTCATCCACAAGTTGCTGCGCATGCGCCGTGAGCTAATTGGCGGCACCGGAGCTTCAGAGGAAGTGGAAGAAGGTTCCAAAGTTCTCATACCAGTCAGTGCGGATCTGGACAAGTTCGGTAGCGACGATGAGGAGATCTACGAGGATGTCAAAGAGGAGGCAGATAATACTAAAGCCTCCAATTCATTGGAAGAGAAGGCAGAGGATGGTGTCAAGTCAGGTGCATCCTCGTGGCATCATGCCAGTGTGACTGCCACAGAAGCCAAGGTGCGGGATATTGATTCCTGTAAGTACGATCCATACCATCGAGTGCCCGCTTTTGCAGGAGCTGCCTATGCGCTCCGCTACGAACTATTGCTGCTACGGCAACACTACCATCCCACCGTTCAGGTCTTCGCCGAGCAGATCCTTCAGCGTGAGTATTCCTTGTGGTTTCCTTTCATATCCTTTTGTTAACTTTTCGCTTTCTTTAGAATCACGCATTGATTACTATGGTGATCCGCTCAGAGATTTCGGACTACCACACTTTTTGGAGCGTTTCGCCTTTAAGAATCCGAAAAAACTGGAAGCTTCACAAGCGGCCGAAAATGCTACTGTGGCACACAAGCGATACATGGCTCATGGAGCGCGGGGAAGACCAGTAAAATCCTTGACCAAGGCCAACTGCACCGAGGACGAGATGTTCATCTTCAACTTCTTAGAGCATAAACGCAGACAGGCGGAAATTGTGGCGCAGAACAAAAAGCAAAAGGAGGTAAAGGAGGCCCCAGAAGAGGGAGACGATGGCGAAGGTGGAGAAGAATACCTGAAGGAGGGCGAAGTAGATGACGATGAGTTCGAGGCCTATTTGGATGGGTATTTCGGCAAGAAGTTCAAGGAAGGTGTCGACGAAGAGCAGGATGAAGAGGAGCTAAACTTCCTGCAGGAGCTGGGCGGCGAAATGAAGAAGGATAAGTCCAAGGACAAGAAAAAGAAGAAGCTAACTGACAAGGAGGAAGATGACATGGATGATATAGATGACGACTGGGATGATGACGACTTGGCAGAAGATGAGGACGATGAAATGGAAGGCGAAGATCAGTCCGATGATGAAACGGGTTCAATTGATTTGGAACCACTTGACGACGACGACGACGATGATGATGAAGGCTCGATTTCAGAAGGCGGCCCAGACGACAGTGATTCCAGTGATGCTCCTGAGAGTCCAGACGAAGAGGATGACGACGAAGATGCACCACCGCGATCCAAAAAATCACGCAAAGATTCCAGCGACATGGTGGGAGGACGAACCTTTGCCAAAACACTCAAACAGAGTCACGGTAAGATATCGATTAAGAATTCATTGCTCGTCATGAAAGTAATTGTTTTTTTTCAACATCGTTAGATATGTCCTCTCTGTTTGCTGCCGCCGATGACTTCTCTTCGCTGCTGGAGGAAACGGCTAAGGCTAAGGGTCAGGGAACCAGCAATGCTGTTTTCAACAAGGACAAGTCCTCCGACAAACAATTGAAATGGGAAGAAAATCGACGATCGAACTCCAAATCCTATAAGGGCAAGAAGTTTGCCGGCAAACCAGCGGCCAAAGGTGGTAGACCACAGAAAGCGGGCAAGAAGCGGAAACACTAAACTAAACTCGATTATCAAACTCTACTCCATGTAAATGGTTAGATTTGTAAATATGCAAACGCAAGATTAAAACCAATTTTTATTAAGTTAAAACGTACTCTCCTTTTGCTTATCATTTGAAATGCTTTATTTTAACTGCATTTTGATATCGGTTTTATGTACAGACTTTGGTGACTTAACCGCTAGCAACTAGTTTCAAATTCATCTCCTTGCCTCAATGTATCTTCAAAGTTAATCGAACTCCTTCGGTTGTTTGGTTAACATAACTATCCGTAATCCATATAACGCTTTGGCCGAACTGTAAAAATCGAGTTCAATACGATTTGATTGCTTTATTCTTACATCTAACTAGTTGTCCCCCATTGGTTGTTGCGTCCTTTGTAAGTAGATTGGGCAGAGTCTGTGGTCGTTGATAGTGCCAGTGATCTTAAACTACGACGGATTGCCAATGATCGCAGCAATAAAAACTCATGCCAAATGAGTTTGCTTATAAAATGTAGGGTATGTTTAACTTTTTATATTGCGACTTTTTGCAGTTTTTGGGCTTTACATTTGTGTGTGTTCTAAGGCAACTTGTTAGAAGGCAACTTTAATATAAATGTTATTTGTTTTATACTAAAATTTACACCATGACTTCAACATCATTTTCCTTCTATATCAGCTCTAACGAAAATTTATACAGTTCGATATGTGAATTGGAATTGGGACTGGGTTAAGTTTATGTCAGCGGAGGGTTTAGTGGGTGCCTTTAAAAACTGATAAATTGTGGACAAAACAAAATTAAACAATACAAATCAAGCATGTTTAAAATAATGTAATTTTTTAAGTTTTATTTAGATTTCATCGGTTTCCATTGCGTTATCTTATTTAGATACAGGGTTCTCAGCAAATTAAAAAAATAATCAAAAATACTTAACAAAACAATAAAATGTTGGTTTGCCATTAACAACGACTATTTACGGTTCTCAAAAGTTGAGTATTGTGTGCAAAAAACGATATATTTTCGGCACAATCTCAAAGAAGAACTTCGCAGTTTCATGTGGAAATGGCTCTTCGGGCGATACTTCTTTTCCCCATTAGTTTCAACTGAAATGATTTGAATGCAATTAGGAAATATTGCCAAGCACAATTTAAATTACATGGGTTTGCTTATTCCAATTAAGATTGGCAATGCATGCTTGGAAGTATTTTGAGTTAGTTCAGTGGTAGTGTTCATAATTAAGTAAATAACTTAACATAAAGCACAACTTAAAGCAAACTGTGTGTATGGGGGTCATAAGAATATCTTTCTCAATGCTGTCTTAAACATAATTTTGCACTAAGCTAATTGCGAATCTTATTATCATATAGTGGTTGTGTTCTGTTGTCGGTATTTGTTTTTGTATGTCTTAATCGCTCTAAGATCAATGCAAAAGTTGCCTTGGTTTAATTCCCATTTTTGTGTCTGACTTTTTACAATTAAGCTATTCAAATAATTAACTAGCACAACAAATTGCATATAGAATACACCAATTAGAACGTTGGGGTATACCCATTCTAAAAATTTACAAGTTAAGTTGGTTTTCGGTATTCGGATTCCGTGCTTGAAAGAGCGAAACGCAATATGAGTACTGAACTTAGACTAATGCATAACAAACTTGAAAAACTGTATTGACAGGATCTTTGGTGCGTCTTGCGGATCCTTCCCCTCATGGTCACGATTCTTAGTGAGGGGGGCTAGTGGGTTTGTTGCTGGGTGCTGAAACCCGCTGGGTGTTCACCCTCTGTTTTGGCTGGTGTCTGGTTGTCGTTGTCCTGGATGGGCCATTGGGTCAATGTGTGTGGTCAGCTGTACATCCGTTGCCTCCTGAAGTCGCCCTCCCACTGCAGCACCGCTCGCAGTTGCTCCTCCCCATCGCCTAGCGGCTCCTCCTTGATTTCCACCACCTCCACATCATCATCCTCGTCATCCTCATGTCATTGGAACTGATAAAGTTGGCGCAGCGCCCGCGCCCTTTCCGGTTGCACTCGCGTGGGTGGCCGCGGCACCTTGGGCTCCCGCTTGGCGCGCTTCAGTTGCGCCCTGGGCCGCGGAAACGTCAGCGGTTTCTCGTATGCATGATCAAGCTTTTCCACTTTTATATTGGGCAGGCAGTAGACGCGACGCGTTTTTTTGAACCGAATCTTTAGCACCTGCTGCACACCATTGATAAGCAGACAGAAATGCCTCCAGCTTGCCCGCGTCTTTCGCCACGAGATTGCTGTCTTACTAAATCCATTGAAACTCTCCTCTCGCTTTGTAGTTCCAAAGGACGGAGGCAATGTACGTACGACTCGCTGGGTTCTCTTCGGAATGCGTGCTACCGCAGTATCAGCTGGCGGCGGCAGCTGCTGCATTAGTAGGCGCAGGGACGCCTTGCTGTCCTCCTGCGGAGCGGTAGAAACCGGGTGTAATAGCTGGCTCTCAGTGCGACGCTGCTGTCGCGTTCTTGGCCGCCGGAAGGTCGATTCTGGTTCAACAGGAGCCGGAGCTGGTGGAGGTGGCATGTACTGCCGATCCTCCTCAGGCAGAGGTAGTTCACTGTAGTACTCCTCGGGAAGGGGTAAGGGCGGCGCATCCTCGTCGAAGCCGTAGAAGTCCGGTTGCACCTCAAAGGCAGGGTCAAATCGTTCGTGCACTACCAAGTCTTCGTCGTCGGATGGAGCAACAGCTGAGGGTAATGCGGCTGTATTTTTCCTAGATTCGTGAGCCAGGACAGTCGCTTCCATGGGCTCGCTGACTAGGATTATGCCATCATCTTCCGCCGACTTGTCGTGTGTGGATTCCATATGTTCCTGCTCCACTAACATACCTGCCGTCGGTTGCTCCATAGTATCTTCGCTGAGGTCCACAACCATCTGCTGCTCTAGCGGCATAATTATATCAACATCCGGATCATTTGAGCCGTACTGCAGCCACTCGCTGTCAAGAATATCTGACAATGTGGGCCGATCAGCCGGATCCCGCTGCAGACACCAGCTCACCAAATGTCGGAACGCAGGACTTGCATTTTCCCAGCGCTTAGAACGCTGATTAAACGTTTCACGCCGCATTCGCTTGCGAAGCTCGTGATGGGCCGCTGCGGAGTGATCCACATCGTCCTCGTTCTGTCTGTACGGCTGATGTCCCACTAGCATGGTATACAGCATGGCCCCAAGCCCGTATATATCCACGGCTGGCGAATAAGTGACGAGATTCGCATCCGCGAGCATTTCAGGCGGTGCATAGTCTAGCGTGTAACGCGGCTTGTCTTTCCAACTTTGAAAACGACTATTGTAACTGTTGGTAAAGAATACAGATATAATACGGGAAAAATTAGATTTAAGTCAATGGCATTACCATGCGTTGCCAAAATCGACCAATTTGACATTCTTGTCCTCTCGGCTTTCGAACATTACGTTCTCCGGCTTCAGGTCACCGTGAATAAAGTGCTTGGAGTGTATGTGCCGCACAGCCATAACCAGCTGCAGAAAGATCTCCCGACACGAATCCTCATCCATGCGGATGGATGCGGTTAGCTCCTCGCCGCACAGGTACTCCATTATGATCCATGTCTCGCACTTATCCCTGAACGTTCCATGGTAGCTGACGATGTTCTTGTGACTGTTCGTGTCGAGAGCGCACGAGATTAACGCGTCGACCTCGGAGGGGCGGAACTTGGACAGCGGTATTACTTTGGCCATGAACACCATCTCCGAAGAGCTGTCCACCACAAAATGGCAAGTGCCATAGGCTCCGCTAACAGTGCGGGTGCCAAGTTCAAGGTCATCAGGCCGAGAGGGTATATTCTGCAAGGACAAGGGCTTGACATTAGTCTTGATTATCAGAACATTGCAATTCTACCCACCTGAAGTCCCGGATTACAGTATTGAATGTGACAGTTGTTATCCTGTCGCATCTGCTCCAAATGCTCCGGCGCCACGTATGTGTAGCCGCGGAAGAGTCGTATCCGGCTAGGCGGGGCATCGCACTCGGGATCTTCGGGCACCTGGTCGGTAAACTCGTTGCTGAAATTCTGGACATCGTCCTCGGCGTTGAGGGTGGGCTTATAGGGGGCCTTGCGACGCTTGTTCCGCAGTTCCTGCCAGTTAATGCCGTGGAAAAAGGGGTGCTCCTTGATTTCGCTGGCGTCGCGATGGTTTCCTCCCAGCCGTCGCTTTGGGTTCTTCTCCAGCATCTTTAGCACAAAGTCACGGGCGTTGGCACTGAACGATGAGGGAATCAACGGCTGCTCCTTCTGAATCCGCCGCGAGATTTCCGACTGCTGGCTCTGGCCATCAGACGTAGCGAATGGCGAAGCGCCGGTGAGCAGCTCAAAAGTGAGCACACCCACCGACCACCAGTCCACGGCACTGTCGTGTCCCGGCGGCCCCGTACGAATAATCTCAGGAGCCATGTACTCCAGAGTGCCGCAGAAGCTGTGCGCACGGTATTCATTCTCCGCGGTAAGGATCTTCGACAGTCCAAAGTCGGAGAGTACAATGTGCCCCTCGCCATCGAGCAAAATATTCTCCAACTTAATGTCTCGATAGATAATCCCCAACTGATGCAGTTGCTCCAGAGCCAGCACCACCTCGGCTATGTAAACACGAACCCGGGACTCCTCGAAGTTCTCAGAGTGGTAGAGATGCGTGAAGAGCTCACCGCCATTGGCAAAGTCTGTAAATTTATAAGAACTGGTTAGTTTTGGTCCTTTTCTGATGGATAGTGTGGTCTTACCTAGCACCAGATAAAGCTTTGAAGATGACTGGAAGGCGTAGTGCAGACTCACGAGGAAGGGACTACGTTGAACAGCCTCCAGTACCTAAAACAAAAAAAAAATAAAAATATTTAAAAAATCTGATTAAAGAAATATTTTAAAGTATACATAATTTGCTGCAAATTGTCATATATCCTCTTAAAATAAATGTATAATACCTCATTATTTCCTCCTATAACCATTTTAAATTGCCCTTCCCCTTTTAGGTGTTTATAACAAACATTAATAATTTACGTTATCCTCCTCTCGTTATCGCATGTCTCTTTTCCCATTGCTTTCGCTCACTCGCTTATCACATTTCTTGTTGTTTTTCCGATTTTGTTTTGAGTTTTATTTACAGTATGCCAATACAGTTTGAATGCATAAGTACTTGTATGTATAAGTCAATTACTTGTTGTGGCTGATTAATATTCCGCGTAAGAACTAAAGAGAATAAAACATGTAAGAGGAAAAGTGGAATCAAGCATTTTGAAAATGAATTAATGAAGTAAAGTCATCTTTTTCTCATTTCTTTCATATTAAAACTTTCACATTTCTAGTTTGTTTTAATGAACCGTGGTTTAAAATTTCGTGGTCACCACAATAGCATTATAAAAATAAAATTCATTTTCTTTTTTTAAATTTGAAAAATTATACATATGTACATATGTTGTCCCATTGAATTGGCGGCTAATGCTTATTCCTTTCTATTTTGGCGAATGCCAGACAAATTATAGACTTGTCGGATCGCAGATACCGGCAATGTTTGATAACTGGGTTAGTAGCACAAGTATTACACCTTGAAGCATTCAAGTCGGTGGCATGGGAGGAGGAGAAAATGGTAACAGAGGGACACGAAAATAGCGCATGAAAACAACGTAAAAGCAGGGCGCCCAATTGTAAATTTGTTTAAGTTATCTGCAGCTAGGCGCCTACACCTGTTTGCAGTTATTTAACGCCGTTTTGATGTTTCTCTCTTTTCCATTTCTATTTTCATTGATTTACTATGACTCTCTCGTTGCCGAAAAGAGAGAAAGAGATTTAAAAAAAAAAAACGAAAAACCGGTTGCACTAGCCCGTTTGCAACAACAACTTCCACTATTGATCTGAGCCGGATGCTCTCTTCAGCTCTCTATATTCCCTACACAAGAAAAAAATCGATAATAAAATAATGGTTTATTACATAATAAAGGTGTCAAATTACTTCTCTTTTTTTTTAATTTACAGTACCCTTGATTGGGATTACACTTTATGACCATTTTAACATGTCTAACACTTTTTGCAGTGTAGGTGTGTATCTTCTCTTTGGACTGTGTGGGCTTTTTGCCGGTGCAACAAGAACAAGTTGCTATGTGGGTCACAAGAACATCTCCCTCCCTCTCTCCACCCACTTTCCTCCTTATGCCTTTTCCCGTTTACTGGCTTCTTTTTCGTTTCATCCGATTCGCTACCGTAAACTGTACGTGCGACTTTGAAGGTTGTCAAATCGGGTTTAATTTCAACAAGCTGCACTTTATCGTCATCAAAGTAAAAGAAGCCGGGAAGCGGTGTGATTGCAATAACATCACGCAGCGGTAAAATTAACGGTAATCGAAAAGCAAAAGAGCTACCAAAAAATATGGCTTGATTAAACACGTTTGCGGTATTTTTTCTTGTTAAAAAATGATTAAAAGGGTTTTCCGGCTTTACAACGGTGGCCACAAACCGCAAAACCGACTTTAAAATCTTATCCACTATGTACAATGTTCGGCTTCACATACTGAAATTTTTATTATTTGAAAATATTTTCATTTTTACTTTCTTTTTTTTACACTAAATACCTAGCAATTACATTGTTATTTGGCCTATAAAATCGTATGATAAAGATATCGCGATAAGAATGTTTAAACAGTAATGGTTAAGTGGTATTGTATTTTAATTGACTTTCAAAAAATGTATTATAAAGTAATACTTGTATTTAAATGAATTTATTATTTTCGTAATTCCACTTACCACTCTCTCCGTTTTGGTGTGTTCCGCTGTTTTTCGCTTCTGCACCACCGTTATCTTATTGAGAACCTTCATTGCATACAGTTTTCCGGCATCGTGTCTAGTCAGCTTGCGAACGAGGAAAACCCGACCATAGGCTATGAAAAATAGGAAAGCAATATCATGTCAATATTGATACATTAAGTATTTGTTTTCAATAATATTTTACTTACCACCTGTTCCTAGGACGCGAATTATTTTGAAATCATTCAGACTGACGGCCTCGTCACTGTACAATTTTACTAAAAGGAAAGACACGCAGATAAGCATTGTAATCAGTATTAAAACAAGAAATATATTTACAAATTTCACCTAAAAAAATCAATTGCAAACCAAATTATATCTCTCACTCAGAACGATAATGAATGAGAATGTGTACTACACATATACATATGTACATGACATGTACATACATTACTATCTATCTACACTACACTGTATTTGTAGGGTAGGCGATAAAAATAGTTTTTCGCATTGTTTACTTGACACATGTGAAACGAATTATCACATTTTATTTTTATCGCCAGTGCAGCACGTGCCAGACTCTTGATTCCGTTTTCAGAGGCGAAAGCATGCTACCCATGATTATCATACCCATGTCACCTATGTTATGTGTAGCATATTGGCGTTATAATGCATTTCTTGCAATTCCATGGGGATGCTGGTCTAACAGAAACTTTGTTAACCACAGCCCATGTATTCATGGACCAAGGACACGGCAAGGAACTCTGTCATCTAGGGGAGAGAGAGCTTTTCTCTAGACATCTGTATATTACAGGCTTCTTGGGAGCATGTGCCATAAGCCATAACAGTTCACTGGCCCAATCGTCTGACCAGGAGATTGCACAGTTTACGATTATTGCACGACCCAGACAAGCAGTTTAAGGAAAATCCGCAGACGTTAAAAGTGAAGCCTTTTCATATTTAATAAGTAGAACAATATAATTAGAATACAAATAATGCAAGGATAGAAAATCGAACAACAGTATTTATAACGTTGACCTTTAACTGTAAATAGATTCCTTTTCACCCTATAATTTTAGTTTAGATTCATTTTATTACTGTTTTAATTAAAATGTAGACGTGATTGAATGTGCTACCTTTCCAATTTTCCCTCAAAGAAGGTTAGCGCTTGGAGGCATTCACCTGATCTGCCATTCAATTTAATAATCGCAATTATTCAAATTAATCGAAAAGCCTGTGACCGCTGCAATTCAATTAGCTTGAAATTACATAAAGCGTTCCCAAGTGACCAATTCGTTTAAGCAAACATCAACCTCATCCTCAGAATTTTGACCATGAGTCAGTCAACACCACGAAAACCCACCATTCATCCCATTCCAAAAAGTCTGAATATGTGACGAATATTAATGTGAAGTTTGGCTGTGAGTTTTGCGAAATATATTCCTAGCCACAGCAGCTGGCGACAATGTCCTTGAACCCCGAAGGACCTTATTCAGAAAGCGTCTGTAACATTTGTACTATGTACATTAATTCAGCATTACAGTACAATCCTAATTCAACCCTCGTGCAACGGAGCCATCAAAATGTTGTGAAATCAAGAAACATTGACACAAAACTTCAACAGGGGTTAATGGTACCCGAACCTGTTTTATTATTTGGAAATACAAGTTGCTAACAGCAAGTAAATGTAATTTGCGCAAAACACCAGCAAAACGCACGGAATGACGCGTGCCGAAATTCTTCATGGGTGCATCGAACCCAGGACTTTCGAGTGGGTGGCAACTTTTCGTTGGAATTATTGATTCAACAAGAAAAACTGAAAGATGATGTAAAGAGCTGTCGCGGAAAAACCCTTTTCTTTGGCACTTAATAAAATTGGTTTGTCCTTCCTTATAGAGATTTGTTATATAAAAAAAAATTTTTTTGCGATTAGAATTTCAGTATATTAATAAGAACAGATAAATTCGATTAAAAAATCGTAACTTTTGGGTAGACAGTGCGATTGCATTTCTGCTAAATAAGGTTATCATAAGTAAAAAAAAAAAACTGTCTAATAACAATTTATAATATGTTACCTAAAATATTAATAAAACCGTTAAAAGGGCGAAAAGATATCTGTGAATTTTATTCTATAATAAAATTTTCCCATATTCTTAAATGTAATGCAAATCTTTTAAAAAATGTGTACCCTTTTGTACATCATTGTATGGAATACTTTATTCATTATCAAAGTGCGAATTTTCTTAAGTATTTTTAAACCGACCTGTTTGGAAACGTGTGACGTCGAGCAAATAAATTGGCCTTGATATGCATTATATACTCTGGCCAGGTTCTTAAACTGAATAACCGCACAAAAAGTGACTAGGCAAAGTTTAATAAACGCAGCCCAAATGAATATGAGTACCAGCAACAAGTGGAGAATGTTCTGATAGCAACATGTTCGATTATCTTTTTTTACTTCTCATTATCGAGTGGAAATTGTAGCATAAGAAATGTTTAACTCACTTAATAATAATTATTTTAGCGGTACTGTACGAGTATATCGATTTACTGATTAAAAAGTGAAAGGGGGAAAACTACACGGATAAAAATGCAATGTTTCAATTAATTTAAATGCATTTTTAGGTAATAAGATAAACAAACGTTTTTGAGCCACTGGGAATATACATGGAATATGTAAATGGTATGTTGTTCTTTTTTTTAGCATTTATATTTTGACACTTTTACTTGTGAAGCTTTCTGATTTTCCCGAGTGCATTTTTAATTTAGAAAAGGTTGAGGGTTATGATACGGGCACCGCCCGTTGCCGTGACGATGTTCTTGTGATAATTAACAGCAAAAAACAAACACAGCTCACCTATCAATTTGCAGGCAATTATCCAGGAGGCTAACTCGTAGCCCTATCTTTATATATGTACATATGTATCTATGCTCGGTGCTCGGCGAGTTGCATTGCCAAGTTCAAGTAAATAAATTGCCCACAAACAACAACCAACCGTTTATGCAAACAAGCATGCTTGTGAGTACAGCAAACGCTCACAAACAGCGACGCACGCACATTTGTACAAACAAACTGACATGGTCACGACTGCATGGCGATGACAAAAAGTGGCACAGTGGTAATCATGTAATCATGTTGCAGATATGATAATCCAATATAATGAACTACTCCGTCTTCATAATCCAGAAAGATAAAAACTTAACATAAAACATTACATTAGATAAAAACATAAATCTAAACGAAAGTAGATGTATAGAAATCGTCTAGTTTTAGGTTGATTTGTTTTTACTGCATTTATAAACACCTGTTGTGAAACCCACTGACAAAAAATTGTGCTTCAAAGATACTGTGTAGAAAAGGGAAAACGTGTTACTTTCCACACCAACATCCCACTTTTTTACGACATGTCCTGAGTAAATAAATTTTACTCAAAGATGCAACCGAATGGTGTTAAATCTAACAACTAACAAGCAGCAACCATTGGTGTTCGACCCACGGTTATCAAATGAGAGTTTTGGGTGGTGGGTATTGTGTCTGCTTTGTGTATATAGAGTGTGGTGAGAGGTGAGTACGGCGAGAGGTTGGGCGATTTCAGGGGAGGTCAGTAGTTTTGGATTTGGCCCGAAGACCGAACAAAGCCGGGTTGAGTTTTCTGGGTAATCGTGTCAAGGTTAAATGCATGTGCTCCACTTTGACAAAGGACGATAGAGACGGCACTCCATCTGGCATTGACCATCCACCCTCTGCCGCCTATTCAATCAAACCTTGAGACATCCACCCGGTTAAAGTTATCAATTATTCCACCACACTACCACGTATGATATGACTACCATGTATTAAATGGCATGAAATATACACTGGGAACAAGTTGCGGTTAAGTTTACAACAAGTAAGCGGTTTAAAAATGTTGGTCTTCGAATTATACAATAATCACATTGACCTGCATCCTAACTAATTTTCTAGCTTGGGCTTGCAGGTGGCCCTGGAATATCCGTGCTTAAATGACTCACCATAGGATCGCAGATCGGTGACCGCCTCCAGGTCCCGTTGATGGGCCTCATTGTCCAGATCGAGGGGCGTACTATTGCTGGTGGGCATGGCGTAGGAGGGCGTGGCCGAGGATGAAGCCATCGAGGCTGCTGCTGCCGCTGCTGCAGCCGCCGCCGCTGCAGCTGCATTATTGGACTTGGCCTTGGACTTGCTGGAGCTCGATTCATTGATCTCTCTCCCGCTTGGATCCTCCTCCTCCGTGTCCTGGTCGTAGTAGTCCCGGTCGGGATCGCGCTCCTCCTCGCTCTCCGCATCCGATATGCAAACAATCTCCGCCACATTTGTGGTGGGCGGAGATGGAGGTGTGGGCGGTGATATGGTCTCGCGGTAAGTGTAATCCCTTGCAGATGCTGACGTGGTCTTGCTGCTGCTATTGGTGTACTGACCGTTTGTGGCACTGATGCTATTGTTGTTATTGTTATTATTATTGTAGGCCAAGGTCTTGACAGAATTGGAGCCAGATCCCTCCGTAATCAGTTTGGCCTTTTTGCCATTGGTCAACGTCTCGGATTTGCTATTCTTCTGCTTTTTGGCATTGCCATTGCCATTGGCCACCAGGTGGCCATTCAAATGATTCCGCACCATTGGATCCTGCTCCTCGTATGCTAGTGACCCCGATTCATGGGGATTTTGCTGATTCTTGCGACGCGACTTACTTGTACCACTGCTCAAGATCTCGTGGTTTTGCTTCTGCAGGCGACTCATGACTAAATTCTTCCGTCAAAGATCCCAAGTCTTTTATAATGATCTACGTGCTCCTTACGCAGTTAATGGATCATCCAACAATTAACAAAATAAACTAAAAATGTCCAGGGATTGATCGTGTCGCATCGTTGAGCTAGAAGGCAATTAACAAAGTCAAGATACTTTTACTGTTTTAAATAATTATTTTGACAATTGCTGGCAACGTTTTATAAGGTTTTGTAAGAAAATAACTTTTATTGGCAACTAGATCCTAGCAATCTACTATTTAGGATATGTTCAATATTTTTGTTAGTCTTACTTATCTTAGGAAATTATAAATGTTTACACAATACAAATGCGCTACTTCACACATATTAAATACTAAATAAATTAATTTTTTGCAATGACTTGGCCACTATTGCCTTGAAGATATGTAACTGTTTCTTATTGTGTTACACTTAGGCAATCTTCACCGCACCTTCCACATGCCCATTGCCCATTTTTATTCCCATTTCTTCATCTACAATATGGTACAGTTTCAACGCAGGCGTGAGTATTTTCCCCGCTGTTAGCGGACAATCGGATTGGGAAACTCATTTCTGAATAGAACAACACTTTATGAGACTCCGACTCACCTCGCGAAAGGAAATAAGCGCAATATTATAATGCAGACGAAGGAATCCGTATCCGAGGGTGTGTGTCTGTGTGAGAGTGGGTGGATCTGGGTGGGAAGGGGGGAGAGTGTTGGATTATGCGTGGGGCGGCAACGATGTGCAACACTGAACGTTCCAATGATAATGCGCACCGATTTTTGCAGCACTGGCGTTGGCTTAAATATTATTCAACCAATTTGGTTGCGGTTTCCTTTCATTCTTCGGTTTTTCTTGTTTTATACCGTGATTATCACAATCTTTATCAGCCGCGCATTTCTCACTTCCACAGTCAGTTTTTATTTATTTATTTTTTTTTTGTGATTTCTTATTCTTCACTGTTCTTTGCCCACAACTACGTACACATATGCACACTCACACGCTGGCACTTTCTGTATCGGCGACTGCGTTTTTAAAACGTTTTTGTTTTCGTCTGCTGATTCTGCTCCTCGGCGACTGTTGCTCTCGATTTCCAATGGATTTTCCAATTTCCTTGCGTACGCGTCGTATTTGTTTACAATGGGCGATATAGTATCGTTTTAATATTTAAATTGGATGTTTTTTAATTTTTTTGTGTTACACGCGAAGGTTTTTACCGCCGCTTTCTACTCGTTTACGCACACACACACTGAAGCGCGGGACGCTCTCCGCCATCTGCTTTGCTCTCATTCGTGAACACTTATTAGCTACGGGCCACCTTGATGGCAATCGCGGCGATTTCCGTTGCACTCGATCGTATCCGTTTAATTTGTGTATTATAGTACAATATAATACAATTAAAATCGTGGGCGCTTAAAACAGGTAACGCCGGATATTTGGCTTTTTGGAATTTGAACACACAGCTCACGAACCGTACGCAGAAATTTTCCCTTTGCTTTTGTGTCATTTATCGGAGCTATCGGTATCGGTAGTGTTGACAAGAAACTCGACCGCGTGGTGTTGGAAAGCAGCCGTATATCGGGGAGCAGGGTTGGCGGAAACTATCGTTTCAAATTTAATATTTTAAGATTTTGTATTTATTATGATTATTATTATTTCGTGATCATTTATTTATTATATATTTTAAATAAAACTAACGCTTCCCAAAAACTACCAAAAAATTTCAGTTTGGATTTGTTGAATTATTCTGTAAGCTGCACGGACGTAAATAAACCTTAAAAAGTAACCATAATATCTGACAAATTCTTCCTCTCCAAGTTGGGAACTGTGCATCCATCTTTGGAATAGCCAACGGGCATTAGAATAAGTAATTTTTCATTGGCGGGTCGACCGAGAAGGGTTCTCAAGGCTGGACCGCAGTTCAAAGGAGTGGTGACCAGGGAGGAAAGTCCTGCCGCTTGAAGGGCACACAAAAGGATCCCAGCCGCAATCGAAGTGGATATCTCGTTGTAGTAGTGCCTCCTTCGCCTCCCATTCTCCAAAAACCCATAGGTCTGCTTGAAGATCAGGATGAGGTACGGCGCATCGGTCAGATACTCCTTGACATGATTGGTTTTCAGGGGTCGCAGGTCGGTGACCCACTGCGGATGCATCCTCTGGCTGTAGTTGATCAGCTCCTCCTGCTCCACAATTTCCCGAATGGATCGCTTGAGTTCCGGATCCTTCATGACGCAGTACGTCCAGGGCTCTGTGTGTGCGCCACTGGGAGCTGTTCCCGCCGCCCGAATGCAATCCTCTATAACGCTGAGATCCGGCTGGGGATGGCTACTAAAGGAGCGAATGCTACGTCGTCCTTGCATTAGTTCGTAAAATCGTTTGGCTCCATTCGGATTGAGATTCAGGCCGGGAACGACGGGCACATGGGGCTTCTCCTCCATAGATGGCTGCAGTTCATCCTCAAGATCTGACAAGTCCTCAACTGAAACAAAGAATAGAATAGCTACACTTTCGACTTGGAAAAATTTAAAACTAACCCTCTTCGACTTCTTTATCTAAATTGTATCTTTTTGGAACGCGATTCCCATGAAAAAACAATCTTTTAAGGATCCAAATCAGCGCCAAACTGATAAGAAAACCTGGCCAATGCTTGAGAAGCTTGGAGCTGCTGATGAGATCGTCCACATCCATGGTGTTCCAATATGTAACTGCTTTTGCGACTGGGAGAAAGTGGCTGCTCTTGCTCGGAACGTCTTATCACTTGGTTAAGTGGGTCAGGGCTATTGCTGATAGCGATGGATGGTGTGCTTTGGTTTTCAGTTCAGTTGTTGTTTCGGCAGCAGTAGGGGCAATGACTGCATCTGACATGCTCGGAAATCCCCGATTGCCCCTTTTCGCGGGCACTTCTATCCGACTTGTACTTCTGATGGTTAAGCATCAGATTGTGCTCGCACGGATTTCGTTTTAGGGGCGGAATCGGTCGGCCTGGATTGTTGAGTGGGATGGTCTTCTGGTGAACCAATTGGCGCTTGTGCACCTCCCTCAAAATCTCGATGATCCGCCACTTGGCATCGAAGTATATGAAATCTGGAGCAGTGGTTAGCTCGGTACGTATCATATCGCAAAGCATTTGCACCTGCTGGCTATTCGCGGATTCCTGACCTGCAGGTATCTTCTCCACCAAGTGTGCTGCTTCTTTGGATGATTCCGAAATTGCAGAATTTTGAGGACAGGATAAGGAATTTTGGGTTGATGCTAATGCTGTTTCCCGACACTGAGGTAAACAAGGAGAATTTCCAGGACTCCAGGGGCAGGAAACTGGGTTCTTGGAGGATTCCCCTCCAGTTTCCGGCCTGCAGGGGCAGATCAGTTCGGTGGTTCTTAAATCCTGCTCATTTGCGTAGTACGAAGATTGGCTTGAACTAGAACTGGAACTAATCTTGGAACTAGATTTATGACTGATTCCTTCCTCACTGTTTTTTACGTCCTTCTGCTCCGATCGAGTGAATGTGACTTTCTGTTCTTGATCCTCCAATCCTCCTATTTTCTCCTCTACCGGATCTTTCTGACCAACGACATTTTCTGCCTCGTGTATCTCCTGCTCTTTGGAATATTCTTTGTTCGGAATTGATTGGATCTTCTGGGTTTGCCGATCTTTGGGGACTTTTTTGGCCCTCTTTATTAGTATGTTTCCGGGGAAACCGGCCAAAGGGAAACCCGTAAAATTGGTTAACTTTTGGCGCAACATCTCTGTGGTAGCCATCTGATTTTTCAAATCCATTGAAGGCAATTTTCCGGTAGAGAGTAAACTGGTTCCACTTCCCGGAAGATCTTGGTCGTAATCAATACTTAGATGGGGCACCAGGAAAAGAAATTCATTATAGTAGGGGATTGAGGGAGTAATTTTCTCTCCACATTTTCTACGGGCACGTTCGATAATGGTGTATTCCCGCTCAAAGAGCATCCTGAGGTCCTCCAGACAGGATCTCAGCTCCGACCCGCTCTTTCCCGGAAATGAACGCACCATATCATTGTAGCACTCCTCGTCGACTTCTTTGTTACCATAGTAGTGATTATTTCGGTTGTATAGGCTATCATGCGTGCAGTACAGACTTATAAGCTTCCTAATATCTTGATCCTCCAATGAGAATTGGTTTCCATTTGCCCCACTCTGATTCTTTTCCTTCCGATCTCGTTTACCAAACAAAAAAGACAGGAATCCCCTGGATTTTTTTGGTTTCTCGATGCTATTAGGTGTTTTAGGTGGGTCTAATGATTCCAAGACGGGTTTATGAACTCCTCCCGGCTGACTGTCGCTGGATCTGATCCTGGAGGAGCGGATACGCATTGGCGTCATTAGACAACTCGAAGCGGAACGCTTGAAGCAACAGCGCCTGTGTTTTAGTTCCATCCTCTGCGATCTGGCGTTTGAGAAGCGTTACATTCGGGTTGACCTCGCTTTCAACGGTCTTAAGGTTCTTTAAGGGCAACAGCATTATTCTTTGACTGAATTTTTGACCATTATCTGAATATATAACTTTTGTAATCCTGACTATTTTTTTTTTACTTTTTTTGCGGGGAATGAACGTGTCAAATTGAAGTGATTTCAAATGCAGATTAGATCCATTTTTTTTTTAAATTATATCTCTAGAATATTTGTTTTATATAAATGTTGTTTTAATTTGTTTTTCTTGTCAGAACAGTAGAATTTTATAAGAACCACGCTTTTAACGGTTATTAGCTGGCGACTGGATCAGCTGTTTCCCTCTGAAAACTTTGCAGCACTGCGCGCGAGAAAAAGAGCGAGGCCTTAAAGTAAAAGAGCGAGCGAGAGCGGCTAAACAACCAAAATAAAATTACGTGAAATTATAAATAAAAAATACGGAAATACACGTTCAGCAACCGACCAGCCAAGTACAACAAAGCAACGCTGTAAAAACTGACAACACATTTTAGTTTATTCCGCCTCGTGCCATGTGAGCAACTTTAAATTGAAATCAAATCGGAATCAGTGTGCGGGTGCTAATTAGCGGAAGACGGCAATTTATTGAACGCGAAAAAATCCCCACAATCTAACTTCCATTTCGACACGAAACCAAACCGCCAAATCAAATCGCAGTCGAATTCTGCATCAAATGAATGTGCGAAAAGTGCAATAAATCAATGGTTTTGGGAGAGTTAAAAGAAGAAGACGGAAGCAGTGCCCACCACAACAAAAGCAAAGAGCACCATACCTAACGGGACAATCAAATCCAAAACTTATCGCCACTACGAGACCATCCTACTAGCTATAGATTCAGTTCATACATATCTCGGAAAATGGACGAGGTCTTCAGCCTGCACATGGAGAAATTGGACGTTTACGACGGTTAGTATGCCGGAAGTTCTACTTAAAAGTATTTACATAGATGATGCACCATCAAGCCATTCGGGCTTTATTTCTGATTAATGGCTTGAACAAGAGTTCATAAACTTTCAAGGCAATAATAGTAGTAGTAAAAAGCAAGGTATTCTGAATTAAATTACACCGATGAAGGTAAACTTATAATAGACAATTTATTCGATTGAGGACTCGCATGATTTTAGCTGTACGAATCATTTCAAACATAATAGAAAGTTGTTATACAAAAGTGGTTGTTATACAAAATTGAAAGAAAATTAGAATAGAAACAATTATGTGGTGAGAAATAATAATAAAAAAAACATATATATAGGTATTTAAACAAGTTTTGTTCCCGTGAGCTCAATTTTGTTGTGAGTGATATAAGAATTAAAGCAATTGGACCGTTTTAGTAGGAGAACTAAGATTAACATGGTGAACAACCATGGAAAATGGATTAAAAGTAGGTAAATATTATAAAGTAAATCAGGAGCAGCTCCTCGTTAGTCATCCTTGGGATCTGGTCCAGCGAGAATCTCCTCGATGATGCGGTGCCCGTCCTCCGTTTTCTCGCCTTGAATGATCAGATCCCTTAGCGTAGATATATGTTTTTGACTCTCCTCGATCTGAACCTTAAGAGTATCGTTTTGCCTCCTCAATTCATCGATGCGCTTCTTTCGTTCCTCGGCCGATTTCTTTGTCTTCTCGCGTGTACGCTGTACAGCCTGTTCCGAGAATAATAATAAATCAATAGTGGCCATCTATTTTTGGGGACTTCTGGGGGCCACGGCGCCACAGCAACATGTTTCCCAATATTTGCTCTCTGTTTACATTATGTACATACCTCATTGTTTTTCTTTCTTTTTTCTTGGTACGCTGGATCTGTGCGCGGACTTAATGGCGAATCGCTATTTTGGCTGGTTGACGCCGCAGTTCTCCTTTTGGCCGGCATTCTCTCCGTGATAATTCTGATCTGTATTTAGTTTAAATTGGATCGCAATCGAACTAAAATGCAGAAGAGAACACGAAAACAGCGATGTATTCGTCGATTTGTTGTGAAATTGAACGATAGAACAGCTGTTCATTTGCCATCACAGTGCTGGAAAGTACGCTGCCTACACTGCCCATCCAACAAACAGTTAGCGGTATTATTAAATTAAATGAATTGCATGTTGAAAATCAAAATTAAAATTCATCCAAAATAATAGCCATGGAATGCTATGCAAAAACTGTCAACCAGACACTATTTTTGGTTTGCTCAGACGTTCACTTTTTAATTTCTCAACTGTTTATACAATTTATTTGTAAAGACTGATTGCTTGTACGTAGATGTAGTTTAATGCAATAAAATTAAATGAAATGTAATACGTAATAGTCAATAAATGTTTTAAATAAGCAACAGTTTAAATTGCCAACGTGTTTTTTCCAACACTCCACCCAATAAATAAATTGTGTCACAAGTATCGGCTATCGGCTGTTGGCGCTTTACAGTACTGGATTATTTGCAACCGGCTTATTTTTGCGCAAAATTCTAGTGAAATGTCCTCGCCAGCCCCAAAATCACCGGAGCTTTCGGATAAGAGCAAGAAATACGACAGACAAATCAGGTAGGAGCGTGTATCCTCTAAATAAAGAGGCATAATAATGATGATACCTATTTAGGCTGTGGGGAGAACATGGACAGACGCTTTTGGAGACGGCCACAGTTTGTTTGGTGAATGTGACGGCCGTGGGCTGTGAAACTGCTAAGGGATTGGTGTTACCCGGTATCGGAGGTTTCACTGTGGCCGATGGCAGCACCGTTACGGAGGAGGACCTTGGCAACAAGTCGGTAGACGACCGAATTTTCCCTGACCATCATTATAAAGGCACTTCTTCCGTAGTTTCTTCCTGGATTCCAGCTATCTGGGCAAGTCGAAAGCATTGGCTTGCATGCAACTTCTCCAGGAGCTCAATCCCGACGTGAATGGCGATTATGTCGAGGAGAGTGCCGACTTTATATTAGCCAACAGGCCCAACTTCTTTGATAGTTTCGATTTGGTGATTGCCTCCAATCTCAATGAGCAGACTTTGCTAATTTTGGCCGAACGGTTATGGGAGGTTAACGTGCCATTAATCTACTGCCGATCGCTTGGCATGCTTGGCACAATACGTTTGCAAATACGGGAACACTGCATCGTGGAGGCGCATCCGGATAACCGTCAATTCGATTTGCGCCTGGAGCATCCATTCGATGCTCTGCGGGAGCATCTCGATGGCACCGAGGTGACTAGTAAGGTGCCCTGGCTGTTGGTGCTCCACAAATACCTTAATGTGTGGCAGAAACAACGGGCTGATGGGGCTCAAACACCCCGAAATTACAAAGAGAAGAGTCAGTTAAAGGAGTCCATTAGAAAGGAGATGAAGAAGGATGAGGAAAACTACGAAGAGGCCATCAAGGCGGTCAATACAGCATTTGGAGCGGGACAGGTTCCCAAAAGTCTGAAAGCGATATTCGAAGATGATGCCTGCGAACAGCTAAACAAGAAGGTTAGATATTTATTCTCAACTTGTACTTGTATGTTACTTTTATTTGTATACCGTTTACAGAGCAATGTCTTTTGGATCATGGCCAAGGCCCTAAAGCACTTCGTGATACATGAGAATGACGGGCATCTCCCTCTGCCTGGCGTTCTGCCGGACATGACGGCCAATACGGACTCCTACATCGCTCTGCAGCACATCTACCGCCAACAGGCACTGCAAGACGCCGACCAGGTGTATCACAAGTGCCAGGAGTACCTTAAGCAATTGGCACTGCCTGGCGACAGCATTGATGAGAGAAGTGTGCGTCTCATTTGCCGAGAAGCAGCCGGATTGGCGGTCATTAGGGGCACACGCATTTCAGAGGAGTACGAGAAGAACAGTCGCCTGCTAACACTAGGTAAAGATCTATATATTTGTGTTCTAGAATAACCTTTACTACCTCGCTACCCTGCCATTCAGTTGAGGACAACGAACTACAAGGCAACCTCACGGCATACAACTTTGCGCTGCGGGCCTACGAGCGCTTCCTCAGCGAGTGTGGCAATATTCCCGGCGAGTGCATCGTGGAGCAGGACATTGGACGCCTGAAGAGCATTGCCGCCAAGATGCTAAGCGATTTGGGCATGCACGCCACCATCAGCGATGATGTTCTGCACGAGATTTGTCGATACGGCGGATCTGAGTTGCACGCAGTGTCTGCTTTTATTGGTAAATAGTCTCTGTGATGAGTTAGGCGATACCTTATTTTTCTAATTCCTTACAGGTGGCTGCGCTGCCCAGGAAGTGATCAAGATCATTACCAAACAATATAAGCCCATCGATAATACTTTTATATACAATGCTATAACCACAGAAAGTGTCACATTGAAGCTTTAAAGAAATCGTATTTTCATAGAATCTGTATATTCTTTTTAGTTAAACACACTAAAGTCTCTGTGCCCCTAAAAAACTAATTAAATTAGTCAAAAAACTGAAAACCCCTTCTCGTACTGGCAAATTCGATTGATATTTTTACATTGCCTTCTTTAGAACTGTCGAAACACTGTATTTTTTGACATAGAACTTTCCGAACATAAAAAGAAATGGCACCATATAGGCAGCTCCGATTGGTGTTAACCATTTTCCGTACTCACAGCCCCGGAAAATCAATTGGAATCCCCAAAATAAGATAATGGTAAACTGCACGAGCTGGAGGCCAGTTAAGTAGCGTTTCCACCAAAGGAACTTCGTGACGCGAGGACCCAGTACACTCAATGCATAATAGCTGTACATAATGACGTGCACGAAGGAGTTTATCATGGCTGGAAAAAAGCCTGCATTGAAAATGGAATATTACTATCGGGAAAACCACCTTTCAACGTAAGTGAACTCACTGGAACCGGTCGGCAGCCATTTGACAAAAATCCAGCAAAACAAAAACATGGTGCTATGGTGATACACATGAAGGAAGCTCAGCTGGTCCCATTTATGGCGCAGAATGAAGAAAGCCGTGTCTGCGAATTCCAGTATTTTTGAGATGTAAAACCACCAAAACGCTGCGGCTATCTGCATCACAATTTAAGCTCATAACTTCTCAGTACGTGTTAATTTTTCTTCAGTTCCAACTCACCCGTATTTCGTCTGGGTTATAGCTCACACGGCACGGCTGACATCCGAAGTTGTAACCAAGACTTCGTGCAGCCGTCAGGAATTCCAGGCAAATATAACCATTAAGGAATATCATTGCGAAGCTGTGGCAAAACAAGGGCACTCTCAACTGCAGCGACTTGTACCTAAGATTCCGAGTGGCCAGTGATTGCTTGTCATGGCTGTTGAGATGGATGCACTCGACCTCACCTGGCTGTCCATTTAGGACCGTAGCGCACCATAAGCAAATAGACGGCCAGCAGGGCGATAACATTCCAGGGCGATTTAACCAGTGGCCAATCCTGCGTCCGCTCATCCGCCAAGTCGGCGAATGTGTATGAATAGCTCTCAGTTTTCGTATCATTGCCCACAGACGTCATGGCACATGTGCTCCAAGAATTATCCAATCCGACTAAGTAAGCTTGTCTTCCAGACCTCTACTCTTATATACGAATTTTGACCACGATCGCTCCGTTGATGCGTTGATATTTTCCCCCCCAAATTTAATTAGATGTCACTGGTGCATAAACTTTTGGTAAGGTCTAGGTTTTACCTATTACATTTTCACTTAGCATTTTTTGACTGTATTTTAATTGATATCCAAGGTCGAGCTTTTATTTTCGGTGTCAATTTGGTAAGAATATTGTACAAAAGTGTGCTAGGGTTGTTCAACTAAAATGAACCATAGCTTGATTTGTTTATGAAATTATAATTTGTTTTATATAGCCTTCTTGGCGACTGGTGATACCCTGTACTTCTGCATATAGAATTTCCCGAACATAAAAAGGAATGGCAACGAGTAGAGCGCCATGGACAAGGTTATCCAGGTGCCGTATTCGCATCCACGGATTAGCATCTGCGACGCCCAAAAGAAGACAATGGTAAACTGGACCAGCTGGAGGCCAGTTAGGTAGCGCTTCCACCAGAGGAACCTCTGTACTCGAGGACCTAGTACACTCAGTGTGTAGTATCCGTACATGACGATATGCACGAAGGAGTTTATCATGGCCGGCACATAGGCTACAACATGGAAATGAACGGATTGGATTTAGGGATCAGCTTACTAAAGGGACTTTTAAAGGACTCACTCGCTCCCGTTGGCATCCACTTAACTAAAATCCAGCAGAAGATAAACATGGTGCTATGGTGATATACATGGAGGAAGCTTAGCTGGGACCACTTTTGCCGCAGGATGAAGAAAGCCGTATCCGCGAATTCGAGTATTTTGGAAATGTAGAACCACCAAAATGCCGTCACAATCTATATCGCCAAATCACAATAGTAATAAGAATTTGGAGAAATATATAACTGTTTATATTACAGTTTTTGAAGACGATCAACATCGATCGATAAGGATCAACGTCGATCAAGAACGATCGCCATATATCGATAACTGCAAATAGCAGTACGAAAACTTCGATAATATTTTAACTTGTCTGTTTAGCATTATGTTTACATAGTATTCCTGAGCATGGTTTTGAGCACAGACTCACCCGCATTTCGTGTGGGTTAAAGCTAACCCGATATGGCTGACATCCGATGTTGTAGCCAAGATCCCTGGATGCCGTATAGAGTTCCATACAGATGTATCCATTCAGGAACACCATGGCTAAGCTGTGGCAGAACAATGGCACTCTCACCTGCAGCGGCTTGTAACTGAGATGCCGGATAGCCAGTGCATATGTGTAATTATTCCATGGGAGAAGGGACTACCTCGATCTCACCTGGCTGTCCATTTGGGCGCGAAGCGCACCATAGATAAATAAAGGGTCAGCATGACGGGCACATTCCACAGTGAATCTACCAGTGGCCAGTTGCGCGTCCGTTCATCCGGCTGATCCGGAAATGGATGAAAGTAGATGCCAGCTTGCGAGTCGTTACCAAGGGATGCCATCGTATACACGGTCCGAGAGCTATCAGATCAGACTAACCAATGTGGACTACGGATTTGCGCCTTTATACCTGATCTCTGGTGTTTTTTGTTTTACAAAACTGAGTTAGAGCATTAGCTTGGGTCAGTTGGGTCAGTTGTAGCCCCATTTACGAAACAATAAAAATTATACACGTGCATAAGCAGCTAAGAAATTTTCTCGTTCGCAGCCCAGATCCCGCAGCCCAGATCCCCAGCCCAGATCCCCAGCCCAGATCCCCAGCCCAGAGCCCGCAACCCAAGCCCTTCTCGTTGGTGGTTGAAGTGATGCTGGCGAGCGTAGTGGATTCTGGATACCATCACTCACTATACCGACTTATTTTTAGCTGGTTCATCCTAAGTGACTGCCAGTTTTCCTGGTGTTTGCATACCAAACATTTAACTTTCTCTGCATTTTCCAGGTCTAGTTAATTATAAGTTTAAAGCTGATGCCGTTTTGGCATTGCTAGCATTGGGTTATCATTGTTTAAAAGAAATATGCAGAATGAGATAATAGTAACAATATAATAATTTTAAAAGTACCAATCATAAGCTTTAGCAATTGCCTTTGAACTCCAAAGATGTGTATTTTAAGAAGTTTTGTAGGAACTTAAGTAAACGATTTTATGTAACATTCCTAACATCAAGGAATGTAACAAATAACTAAATAATTATTTTTCATACGCTTTCCACATTCAACAACTGTTGTTTCCAGATCTTGTCTGTATTTTTACTAAGCCAGTTTTACTTTTTACTTGTTTTTTACATCTTCTTTTACGCGACCATTTGATTAGGTGTACTAGTTTAAGCTTTGGTTTAATGGAAAAAAGTATGCATTACATTTTTAAGTTTAAAACTATTTGTTATTTGTACCGCTCATGAAAAGACTTGCAGTAAATATATTTATTTTCAAATATAAAACAAGAAATAACACAAAGTAGGTATTTAATTTCATAGAAGGCAAAAGATCAACATGACTGACTGACTTCATAAATATTTAACCAATATATAGATATCAATACACAAATCGCTCTAAATATTTTTGATTTAAAAAGAAAACCAAGTTCAACCCACTGGGTAAGTAAAAGTGTTTTTATTGTGATTTTTGCTTTTTAGGATAGAAAAATAAATTAAAAGACGAGATACTTAAGGGAACGCATAAAACAAGATATACATATTTTATTATTTTGAAATTTGTCGAGTGGTAACAACGGACCGTGTTCGAGTCCCACTGGTGTCCGTAGAATTATTGGTCAAAGCGATTCAAAAGCTCAAAATTCTGGCATTTGACCATCTAAACCTCCCCTATGAATTTATATTGTATTGCTTACTCCTAGAAACATTTGTCTATTCTTAGCCAATAGACCTTCTCGCCGCCGTAGGATTTTCCGGTTGATGTGACGCCTTCTACGATGGACTTTCCTGTGGGTCACTGAAGTATCAGTGGTGGTCGTGGGAGCCAACGTAGTGGTGGTGGATGTCGCCATCCCAGTTCCAGTCCCACTACCACTTGCAGTGCCACTTCCACTGGCAGAACCAGATCCACTAGAAACAGCTGATCCTGATCCTGATTCTGATCCTGAAGCTGAACCGGCGCAATCAACGGTGTACAGGCAAAATGCCACGACGACGAACAATGTGAGTGCGATGAACTTAATTTTGAATGTGTTTCTCGTTTTGAGAAAATGTGCGGAAATGGGATCTGTTAACCCGCATTTATAGCACTGCTTCACGTTAGCTTTTGACGTCAGGTGAGTGGAAACTTTTTGGATTGTCAATCCGATTTGAAAGGTACCTGTAAACCAACTGACAACTTCCATTCTATTAGTTCTTTGGCCGGTTTAATTAGAAATTTCTTCTTTTCTATCTACATATTGACTTGAATTCCTTTGCTAAGCGCGTACTCAAGTAGTCACATTCTTGGCTTGCCATTCAGTTAGGCAAATATTCCCATGCTGCTTACATAAAATGGGCTATATTTAGAAAATGTGTATAAAGAAAAAACATAAGTACAAGATATGCGTAAACAAACTATAGTAATACAATTAAACAATCGCATAAGCTTATAATCAAGAGAAAATTCATCATATTCTCTGTATTCCAAAATTTTGATACGATATATTTTCTTCTGTTATAAAAATAAGATGATATTTAACCACGACATCATCCAGAAGTGGGAAAATCCCGAGCTCTCGTTACATGAGTCTTATACAAACACGCGGAGATCTGGCTTCAGTTGAACCAACTATAAATAAGTTGGTCGAGTGAGTGATAGAACCAGAATTGAGAGCCAAGTGCAAAGTAGAAGTCACCATGCGTTCAACTCTTGCGCTAACAGTGGTCGTCCTGGTTGTCCTGTCGTCGCAGGTGACCACCTCGCCCACGAGCAGCTCCTCCACCTCGCCCACGAGCAGCTCCACCTCGCCCACGAGCAGCTCCTCCACCTCGCCAACGAGCAGCTCATCATCCAACACAACGGTCACCACCACGACCACAACTGCCGCGACCACCACCTCCAGCGTCACCGAGGAGTCCACGAAGAGGCATCGCCACAGGCACCGCCGCAGGCACAGCCGCAGGAGGATCATCATCATTCGACGAGTTGGCGGAGGTGGAGAAAGGCGCCGCAGGACTCGCGATGGTGCTGATGGTGGTGGCCGTGCCGGGACCCGCATCCGTGTGCGCGAACGACGCGCCGTTCGTCGTGTTGCCCGCTTGTGATGATACATTACTGGAACACTAAATAAATATGTGCAAACAAAACTCAAAATGTCGTATTCCTCTCATGCCATATAATAGAATATGTATGTATGTATTTGGATTATCTTTTGTCCTTTCATAAGCTAATCTTTTTCAGAATAGAATATGTATGTATGTATTTGGATTATCTTTTGTCCTTTCATAAGCCAATCTTTTCCAGAATCCAATGAACTACTAAACTATACGCAAGCCACGAAGTATATTATATTATATAAATAATAAACAAATTTAGTTTTGATTCTAGAACGGCGGCTTGTCGATGCCACACTCATCGGGTTTCTTGAAGACCAGCGCATATGTGAGGACCGGATGGACATTGCTCTCCTCGGAGGCCGTCGAGAGGAGCGAGTGCGTCGAAGGACTCTCCATGAAGAGCATCTCAGCGTCGAACTTACTCCAGCGGCCACGTTGCAATTGATCCTTAACGTACTTCAGCTGGGTGTTGATCTACGCAAATTTAGTTAAGTTGGCATTTAAATATACTAATTTAAAAACAATCGTAATCCTAGCCTATAATCAAAAATAGAATTTTAAATCTGCTTTCGAAGCATACTTAAGGATATTTGAAAAGACAAGAGATAAATATTTTAAGATATCTTAGTATAGGGTTAGATATTCTTACCATCGGCACTAGCAATGGGTTCTGTCCGCAGTTAAACAATTCAGCCACAAATTTTCGGAGATTTTCCGGCTTTGGTCTTGCATTGAGTGCCTGGTGAAGGATAACACGAATTATGGCCCGTATCTGAAAGGAGCGGATTGAATAAATCGCCTAGTTTGAATAATGTGAATCGAATGGGACTACCTCTGGATGCTGACAGAGATATTCCCAGTTTCCGAGACGTAGCTGTTTTTGGATTCGCGATATTGAGCTGTAGTGCTTTATGTCCCGCGAATCCCACTTTCCAAGATCCCAGATCTTGGTGAAATTTTGCTTATTCCCATACGACATTTCTCAGTTTTTTGATGGTAATGCTTTACAGGAATTTAGAAGTAACTAAATAATTTGATTTGAGAAACTAAAGTCAAAGAAATGTTGTCAAGATAAAACATTTAATTCAAAAGCTCATAAAAAAGGCCGTGAAATTAGGTTAAGCTTGAAAAAATAAGAGGATAGCAACTTTAAAAAAGCCGCCAATCTGTTTTGTAAAAACCGTGTCATATTTGATTTAGTGGTTTTTCAGAAGGCGAAAACGGTCACACTGCCCGCACAAAAGAAAATTTTTGACGAAAATTGTTTGAGATTTCCGTTTCTAATTAACAATGATGAATTAATTAACGCTGGAATTAGCACAAGCTGTAACTTCAGACAATTTCTCTGATCCAGGGCAATAGAAAGCAATGGTAAGATGAGTGGACATGACTGAAAAGTGGACTTTTAATTGAGTACAACTGGCCAACCGGCTTGCCCGGAAAAATGAGGAGTCCGTCGTAATAATGGACCAAAAATAGACCGGAGCACAGTGACCCAAAAATAGCTACGACATGTGCTCCCAATGGTCTTCTAATGGTGTGTCTCCCCAATCCATTGCAGGCTGTGCTGGGCGCCCAATTGGTCATCACCTTGGTGATGGTCAGCGTTATCCAGAAGTTGAGTCCACACTACTCGTTCGCCAAGTGGATCCTGTGCCGCACCGGGCTGTATCGATACCTGCATCCAACGGACGATGAGCTGCGATCCCGTGGCGGAGTGCCCAAGGAAAAGCCGCCCAAAGGCGGTCGAAATAAGCAGGCAAATGGATCAGGAGCAGCGGCTGCACAGTTCCACATACCGCGCAGTATTGAGGTGGATCTGCTAACGTCACCAGTGTTGGAGCGGGATGTAGTCCACCTGCGATACTTCACCGAATACCAGTGGCTGCTGGACTTCAGCGTCTACACGGGGATCGTCTACGTGGTTTCCGAGGTGGGTAAAGTTGCTGTTGTTCGCCCAAGATTCTTACTACAGCGGTTATAGTTATATGCATAGATGATACAATAATATGACTCCTTTCTAATTGTGGTTTCTCGTCCACAGCTGTTCCACTTCTACTACCCGCTGCGCCACGAGATCAACCTGAGCATGGTGTGGTGCCTGCTGGTCATCTTCTTTGCCCTAAAGCTGCTGTCCTCGCTCACGGTGCTCTACTTCCAGAGCGAGGAGTCCATCGGAGAGAGGTCGATGGTGATTGTTGCCTGTTTGGTTTACCTGCTGGTGGCCATGGTCGTGCTGATCGTTGACGAGCGCATTCTGGAGACGGGACTGGAGGATGCCTATGCGAGCTTTAATGCCAGCGCGTCCAAGTTCCTCACCGAGCAGGGCCTGCCATCATCGTGGGTTCGCCTCAACTCCGAGTATTACAATTTATTTACACACTGTATTTTTATTTTTCAGTGGTCCCGCCTCGAAGATCGTGGTCAAGTTCTTTTTGGCCATGGGTTGCGGCTTGCTCGGTTCGCTGTTCACCTTCCCCGGCTTGCGGATGGCCAAGATGCACTGGGACTCACTAAAGTACTGTCGTGGCAACCGGTTGCTGCAAGTGCTCCTAAATCTCAGCTTCGTGCTGCCCTTTATTCTGGTCATCCTGTGGATTCGGCCTATTAGCCGCGATTACCTGACCGTGCGCGTCTTCCAAGGAATGCAACAGCCACTGTGAGTAGTGAAACTACATAAGTTTTAACTTAAGGTAATTACAATTATATTTGCAGACTGAAGCCACATGTTTTTGAGACACTCCGCCTGCTGCTAGTAATCTTTGTGGTAGTGGTCCGCTTCGCCTTGATGCCCATATATCTGCAATCGTACCTGAATCTGGCCCACGACAAGATCATGGATCTGCGCAAAGAGGCCGGTCGGATTACCAATGTAGAGTTCAAGCAGAAGGTGTGGCAGCAATCTTGTATACCATCCTTCACGTAGTAACCTAAACGATTTTTCCCTTTTACAGATCTCGTCTATTTTCTACTATCTATGTGTTGTGACCCTGCAATTTGCTGCCCCACTGATCCTATGCCTATATCTCACACTTATGTACAAAAGTTTGGGCGGCTTTAGCTGGGCTGGTATCTTCCGGGAGAGTGTTGTTCTACAGCACGAGTGTGCGGCTAGCGAAACGGAAGGAGCTGGTGGTGCCGTTTCCCAAGGAGATGGTGACTTTAATATTCTTGAGTCGGCGCAATCGCTGCAGGCTTCATTTAGCAGCCTGAAAAATGTAAGACCCTTTGCTTTGCACGACAAGGCCAGTTTTAATCATAGATGCTTTCAGGTTTTCTCCACGGAGGTGTACAAGGGTTTCCTGGGCTTTGCCACCTGGTGGAGCTACTTTACCCTGTTCGCCACTTCCTCGCTGGGCATTGTCTACCAATCATATTTCAACAAGACCTAGATACATTTAATTATACACCTATCCCCGTAGTAGTATGACTCTGTTCTTTTGTAGTGAATTTGTACCGCACACGAAATTGATATTAATTTCTACTCATGTGGAGAGTATCGTGATTTACAATATGTTTTGTAAATAATACTACCTTTCTCATTGTTTATAAAGCGTGTTATAGACTTTTAACCAGGCTGCCCTGAGAGTAACCAAAGTAATTACAAAAATAAATAAATAATCTAAAACAGAGATATGTTATCAAACGAATGAGTGCCTCATCGTGATTTTTAGTTTTCCAATATATTAAGAACTTTTCGATGGGCTCAGCACTGATATTATTTAATACGTAATTGATTTCATACGATTTTACTTGCCAATTCGTTGGACCACAAATGCTATATTCATTCGTAAACAGCCAACTATTCTAAAACAAATAATGATAGCAACACTTTAAAACACAAACACATTGGATTTTGGTTATGGGGTAATTTCAAAACACCAATTTATTGAACCTTAAAGGTTGCAAGGTTGCGTATCAACTAACAGACCACAGGCTATGTATTTATATGTAGAAGTGTATCGTTTGCATATCTCCAGAAGGTAGTGCTAAATAGAGTAGATCAGCACAGTGGCCGACTTCGGAATAGATTATCGCTTAGACCTTGGCAATGCCAATAACGCCGCAGCCGATGCGGGCACCAGCGTTGCCTGTTGACTTGCTCAGCTCGTGGCCACCCTTGCCGAGATCATCGGCATCGGCGTGCACAACAACGGTGCGTCCGATGATGCTATCGGCGCCGAAGAGCGTGATCTTGGAGTCGGTGATGCTGACCTTGGTGGGGCAGTCGCCGGTGGCCTCAATGTTGCCCAAATCGCCCAGGTGACGGTTCTCGTCGACGGGAGCGCCGTGCTCCTTGCCATGCGGATTGAAGTGCGGTCCGGACGACATGCAGCCGTTGGTGTTGTCTCCGAACTCGTGCACGTGGAATCCGTGCAGACCCTTGGCCAGGCCGCACACCTCCCCAGAGACCTTCACGGGCGTCTCGCTGCTCTGCGGGCGGAATGAAGGGAATGGGTTACAATTAGACCAACGCTCAAGATAATGCTCGAATACTGATAAGGCAGATGTTTTGTTTTATAGTAACATGTCCGAACGAACAGAAGCACTGATTATGAATCCCAGCGAGGACAACTTTATAAGATAATAGGTTATCATAGAAATGGCAAATTTGTCTAAAAAATACATTCGTAAATAGATACAATTTAAACGTAAATTTATAGGCAACAAAATAAACATATTGTTATCTCTATAGAATAAAAACATACACATATAATAATTATTTCCTCCGCAATAAAACATAACCTGTAATCATCAAGATTATAATCATTATAATGATTATTCTTATAACCGCATTTGCTGATATTTCACGAAACTTTATGAACTAACACTGAAAGACCTCTAAGTTTTAACCCCTTTACATATGAATATGCCCAGTACTATTTTCGTGACCTTTGCTGTAGGTATCCGAGCGCACACATATGCGCATTTTTCTGGGGCTTATATAAATATAAATGTGCACTTGCTGAGTGACTAGGCGTAAACTCAAATCGGACTTAATTGAAATGCTCCACAGACAGAATTTTAAGCAGCATTTTGAAGTGGAAGAGGGCGCAGCGGGTGATGCCGGCACTTTGACCTTTAGAACTTGTGTTTCGTATACTTTGTTGAGGAGAACTGTAAATGATCTTGGATTCTCACCTCCTGTTCGAAGAAAACCGTACCCTTGGCATCGCCATTAATTACGCAGACAGCTTTAACCACCATTTCGAATGGATTAATCAATTTAATTACTTATCAAATCGAAAAAACTTGAGAACTTTCCAGGTATCTTCTACGGTGTGACCAACGCAGAGCAGCTCAAAAACCTCAGCGAAACTTTTAGTATTCAGGATATGCTAAAGTCTCACACTGGGTTTATCTTTTTTATTGCTGGTATTATCTTTAGGAATTTTTTTATTTTCAGAATATTTTAGGCACGTGTGTTACTGGCACATATTTTCCGTACTTTAAAAAGACCCTAAATATTAGTTTACGTAGCGCTTCCTAAAGCTATAAATTACAAAATTGGAAAACGCAAAATTTGTAGTTACTGCCCAAACGTGGTTCAATTTTTGTAGCTCAACAATTTCAGTTCAACGAACCACTGGTTCGTTTAAAAGCTTTCCATGCACTCCAATGCAGCGGCGGGATCTATTTGATTTGCTCAGTTGAGTATAAAGAAAATGTATATCCGGGAATCCCCAAATAAAACCAGGCCAAAACCAGTCATAGCAATTCGGACAATGCTAATCCAAATCCAGATGCCTTGGTAAAGGATTAAAACAGGCCAACGGGTACTTTAGCAACTAGTTGAGTATTATAAACTATACTAATATTGATCAGTTCAATTTGATGCACAAAATAGATATTTGTAAAAATGTAGTCACCAGAAATGCGTTCACTTGTTGACTTGTTTTGTTGAATAAATAAATCACTTAACAATGCGTTCGTAAACAAATTGAAACAAGAAAGTGTGCATTTGATTTTTGTTTTTTTTTTAATACACAATTTGTCCAAACACTTAAATGGGATTTTCTTCATTAATTAGAAATAATGTGCTATCATTTCAATCTTTATATATTGTTATTGTATCCGTAAATTTGTAGATATTACTTATTTATTTTCATCATTTTTGTTTTTGTTTGTATTTTAATAATTTGTATATATATTAATATAGATATACATATATATATACACATATATATATATATTATATTTAAATCGATATAGGTAAAGGTATGTAGATAGGTAATATTATTCATTCGCCTGTTTGTTTGTTTGTTACTTGTGTGGTTGGTTGCATGTTACTTGATTTTCCCCAATTTTTTCACGCTTCTCGCACAATTCGGTCACATAGCTATAACATCTTAAACATCATAATCATCAATCATTACAATAATCAATCGCATATATCTAGATAATTTTGCTTTGTTTGCTGCTTTACCTCGCTTTAAATTTAAATTTTATTATATTACTTAGAGAGTAGCGTCATCGAGCATATTGAATTCGTCAGATCTAAGGGATTAAGTCGTAACTTCGAATCGGGTTTCGAATTTCAAAAAGTGTGCTTGCAGTCGCCGCCGTTGAACGGTTGCTTGGCCAACATTTCAAACACAATCTCACAGTTGCTATTTGTAAAATGTTCCATATCAATTTATACAATTTGCTTTCGTGTTGCTTTGCTTCGCGTGCGTTCATGTTTCTTAAGGTGTGTGGTTGGGGGTTCACTATTTAATTTGATTTGTTTTTGGGTATAGGTAGGTAGGTTTTGGATTGGCAAATTCAATATACAAGATGGAGATACTTTTTGTTTTGCTTTCTAATCGTTTTCCACCCATGGGGCTCACTATTTGCCCTTGTTCTGCCGGTGCTTCTGGATCCGCACGCATCAGAGCACTTCGGACACATACTTGGGTCGCTTGGCCACGGTGGCATCGGTGGCAGTGGTGACGCACTCTTCCTCGCTGGCCTCAATGTGACCACTGTAGTCGGTCGGCAACTCCTCGTAGATAATCTCTGAATGCTGCTGCTGTGCCACGGACTGCTGCTGATGCAGTGTATGCGATGCCCCGCCGCCCATCACATGGTTCCTCTTTAGCGCAATCAGAGCTCCAACCCCTCCGCCTCCGCTCGCTGCGCTTCCCTCAGCATGCGTCTGTGGTGCGGACACTCCAGTGCTTTGATTGGTTACGTAGTACGGATTGCCACTACTAAGAATCCGAATAAATGGTTAACAAATGCATTTAATAAACAAGTTTTTTGTTGTGCTTACCTGTACTGATTGGAATTGTTTGCTAGTGTCTGCTGCTGCTGTTGTTGCTGTTGGTGCTGCTGTTGCTGGTGTGCATTTTGAGAGTTGTAGATAATTTCTGCAAGATAATCACAAAGATTACAATCTGATTGACTCAGAAGACATTTTCAAAGTTCTATTCCTTAAACGAGTGAATGGCGTACAACCACTCGAGATTTGAATTGAATTAAACGGATTCAAATTAAGCAAAACAAACCGGCATCAGCAGCGCGCTGTTCCAGCGACATTCCCGGTGATCCAGGTGCTGATTGCAACACAATATCTTGGAGCGGTGAGCTCTCGCGCGAATTATCTGTAAGAAATGAAAAGAAGAGTTATTGTATGGTACAATGCCTCTGACGGACGATCGTCACTTACCCATGTGACTGGGCGAGACGGGCGCCGAGCGGGGCATCCCGTACGGAGGGCGGAAGCCCTGGCTGCTTCGCTGACGACGCTTCTTGTAGCTATGGTCGATCAGCTTGGCACCGCTGTCCGGGTCAATTCGCCAGAAGGAACCCTTACCGGGCTCATCCTGAGAGCGGGCCACCTTGATAAAATACCTGCAGGGACAGGGCGGAATGTTGAATTTGATTGTGTAATTGAAACTATTTCGGCATTTAGTAATCAGTCATCATTACCTATTCAAACTGAGATTATGACGTATGGAATTCTGCCAGCCCTTGTTCGTCTCCTTGCGATAGTAGGGGTAGTGCTTGACTATAAACGAATAAATGCCCGAGAGCGTTAGCTGCTTGTCCGGAGCGGCAGATATGGCCTGAACGATCAGCTGGGCGTAGCTATACGGCGGCTTCTCGTTGTGATTGTAGCTGGCTGTGGAGGGAGTCTGGAACAGATCCTGCTGAAAATGTTAATTTTTCGTTAGTATGCCTGCCCATGAGGTTTAAGATTTTAAAAGCTTCACTTACTGTGTTGTTGTTGCCGTAGTTGTTGTAATTATTGGGCTGATTCTGAATGAAACCCTGACGTGGACTAGCCGGACAACTGTTGGCAGCGCTTATTGTACCTGCGAACACAATTACACAATTTTATTAGAATTCGGGTTTATCACATCTTCAATTTCAAAAGTCTACTCATAAAGTGTTGAAAAAACTAATTAGAACGACTGAATGTAGTGCGGTTCAAATGGTATATATATATAGGATGAAATTCCACTTGCCAGTTGGTGACAGGTAGGGACTCTTCTGCTCCTTCTTGGGTATGGATATCTTGAGCGGTGAATATATGCCGGTTCCATCGCCGGCAATTAGGTGCGCAGCTGCTCCAGCTGGAGGCGCCACAACGATGTTGCCACTACGCTGTTGCTGCTGGTGCAGGGCTGTGTGGTGGAGCGGGTGGTGTGGTGTGTGCGGGAGCGGGTGGTGCGCTGGTTGCTGCTGCTGTTGCTGCTGCAGCGGTAGGAGGTGCGCTGGCGGGTGGTGCGGATGCTGTTGCTGGTGCTGTTGCTGGTGGTGATGCAATTGCTGCTGGTGAAGCTCGTCCCTCGGTGGCGGTGTAATAATAACGTGTGCCCCACCACCAGTTACTCCACCTCCACCACCACCCACGACCAGCGATGGCGAATGACCGGCAATTGCATCCGATGAAGGGGCGGGCACATAACTCTCGAACTCGATGCGAATCTCCGTGCTCGGGAAGCGGAAGTAGCAGCTGCAAAAGAATGGGGGAAATGGGTTTAGAGATAAATGAGCATGAAATGATATTAGGACTGGCTAGAATGATTTCCCATAGAAATACAAAGTTTACAAATTTCTGATTTTTTTTAGTCATAAAAAAGTATTTTCAATTTTTTTTTTTATATCAACTTTGTTATTTCAAAAATGTTATTGTGTTCATATCGCATCGCGATTCACGTGCTACTCATGTACATATGTATACCTACCGCTGCGGCAGACGAAGCGGATCCACGTTGCGCCGCTGCAGGAAATCGTCCACGAAGATGCCATTCTTGCTGAGGCACTGAACAAAGAAGGCTCGCAGCTCCACGTCGTAGAGCACCTGAAAGTGTTTGCGCGACACCAGGTTGTTCTCGGCCACGTTGAAATGAACCAGCGATGTGGAGGAGTTGCGTCCGATTACTGTCACGGCGTCCGTGATGGGCAGTACCTCCTCGTTGAAGCGTAGCTCTCCATATGGCGGGGGAGATGATGTTAATGTCGATGCGGCATTGCCGGAGGGGGTGCTGGCGTTGGCGGAGGAATTGGTGGTGGAGGAGGAGTTGGTGGTGCTACTGGTGGCAGGTGGGTGGTTTGCTGAATTGTTGCTGTTGCCGGTCAGCTGATCGGCGCTGCTGTTGCTGCTATTGTTGTTGTTGTTGCTGTTTGTGTTGTTATTGTTGTTATTCAGCGCCGCTGTTGCTGCTGCTGCTGCGCCATGATGCAGCTGCAACATGTCCTTGGCAATGGCAACGGTGGCGGCGTCGGCTACACCACCGCCTGCTGTATTGGTGGGTGGGTTGTTCAGTACGGCGTGTACGGTAACAATGTTGTTGTTGCTGCTGGCGATGCTGTTGTTGTTGTTGTTTGTAGTGTTGCTATTGCCGGTGGTTGTTGCTAGTGTTGTGGTTGTTGTTGTGGTAGTGGCGGCCATTGAAAGGAAAATCCCTAACTTGTCCTATGCTCGCTTATTGTTGTTGTTGGCCTGCAAAGGGATCGAAATGAATGGTCGTTAAAACGTTTGTTTCGAACAGTCGCTTAAACAATAAAATCGTGCAAAATTCCTGAGAACTAAATGGTAAATAATAACTCTTAATGAATTGGTACCATTTCGGTTTTCACGCTTTTTCACGTTGATATCGGCATTACATAAATTACATAAAAATGTGATTCAAATCCGACCGCTTATATTAGTTTATTACGCGAACTGAGCTCACAGTGTGAATGTAGTGTAGTTTTTGAATCGAAAAGAAAATCATTTATTTATTACATTTTTATCCAGGATGACCCACTCTTTTTCTAAATATATACACCTTCTGCAAATTGTACAACCCGACATTAACACATTAATTGTTTGGGTATCTATACATACACTTATTT